AGCCACACGGAGGAGGAGGGAGCAAGCTTGTTTTCTGCTTCCTTGGAGACTAGGACGCGGAACAATGGCTTCAAACTACAAGAGAGGAGATTCCATCTGAACATGAGGAAGAACTTCCTGACTGTGAGAGCCGTTCAGCAGTGGAACTCTCTGCCCCGGAGTGTGGTGGAGGCTCCTTCTTTGGAAGCTATTAAACAGAGGCTGGATGGCCATCTGTCAGGGGTGATTTGAATGCAATATTCCTGCTTCTTGGCAGGGGGTTGGACTGGATGGCCCATGAGGTCTCTTCCAACTCTTTGATTCTTTGATTCTATGTTTCTATGATTCCATTTCTAAGCCCAAGAGCCAGTAGGTTAACACCAGAAACAGAAGCTATAGAAAAACAGTTCCAGGGCTGAAGGCAAGAAAGAGACAAGCCACCAAACAGTCTACAATGCTGTTGTTTTTCTGTCATAAAAAAGAACTCTGATTGGCCTCTTTGACGACACAACTATTTCATCAGTGGAACTTCAGTTATTGAGCCAACATTGACCTAAGGGGACCCCACTGGGCGTTGGAACTCACAGTTTAAGAAGGAGTGGTCCAGTTCCAAAATATGATGGACTAAATTAATCAGACTGTTAATGACCACCAATTGGGGAAGTTATAAGGGGTAAATGCTTTAGAGATAATACACTTTCCTAACACTGGCTGCAATACCATAAATTGTGCCCAGCCTTTAGCAAGAAGCAACAGATTTTAGCTTAAAACTGTGGCCTATGGGATATAGAGTTAAAATATGTTTTACAGTGGTTCCCAACCTTTGGGCCTCCAGGTGTTTTGGACTTCAACTCCCAGAAACCCCAGCCAGCTTACCAGCTGTTAGGAACTGTGGCAGCTGAAGTCCAAAACACCTGGAGGCCCAAAGGCTGGGAACCACTGCAAGTACCTCCATCTTCTTCTGTTGTTATTGTTCATCTGTTCAGTCATTTCCGACTCTTCGTGACCTCATGGACCAGCCCACGCCAGAGCTCCCTGTCGGTCGTCACCATCCACAGCTCCTTCAAGGTCAATCCAGTCCCTTCAAGGATGCCATCCATCCATCTTTCCCTTGGTCAGCCCCTCTTCCTTTTTCCTTCCATTTTCCCCAGCATCATTGTCTTCTCTAGGCTTTGCTGTCTTCTCATGATGTGGCCAAAGTACTTCCTCTTTGTCTCTAATATCCTTCCCTCCAATGAGCAGTTGCGCTTTATTTCCTGAAGTATGGACTGGTTGGATCTTCTGGTGATCCAAGGTACTCTCAGAACTTCCCTCCAACACCACAGTTCAAAAGCATCTACCTTCCTTCGCTCAGCCTTCCCTATAGTCCAGCTCTCATACCCGTAGGTGACTATGGGGAATACCATCTTCTTCTACAACTCTCAATGCCTTCTCTTTTAGATAAAGGGAATGTGCTGAAGTCTGTGCTAACATGTTAATAGCCTTACTCACTTCTCACCTGCATGAAATGTACCTGCTCAAGGACAGACTAGAATCACCCTGGATTGCAACTATGAAAGTATGACCGAACCATTGTCCATTGTTTTGTTTTTCCCACTTTGATGACAATGTAAGTTCTCCTATGAGAAAAAAACTTTACCTGTACATTAGCTTACTGCAATGTGAAAGTATAAGTTTGTGTCAACCAATCAGTAAACTGTTCCTCTTTACTCACGAAAGCAAAGAGGTAACCATGAAGAAGTAGCTGTAGTTTTTTGGATCCATATTGATATATTTAATATATTAGGAGAACCATTCTAGGTCAAACACACAGAAACACAGGAAAGAAATAATGTTAAAATGATTTCCCCTAAAGCTTTTCTGATGCAGATAGAGGGCACAGCCCTTTCAAATGATACAAACACCTTTTTACAATTTCACTGTTCAAATAGGTGAAGAATCAACAGTCTAGAGACAATCCAAAAAGTTCTCTTGATCTTGAAAAGTCAAAGTGGCAAAGATGCAACTGGTGGGGACCCTGCACCCATTTCTGTATTCTGCAGAGAGGAGTCGAAGGAACCTGGTGTCATACCCATCATGCCCTCGTTCTGCGGAGTTTCGCCCTTCAAGAAGTCATCGTCCTCTTCGCATTTATTCTGCCAAGCAAATACAATGATAAAAACACCATGGAAAACACAGAGGAAATGTTTTAAGAAAATAGATACAAAAAGATTGCAAATTAAATGGTTGATAAGCTCTGCAATCTTAAGCAGGGGTGGGCAACTGCATTGATAATAATAATAATTATTATTATTATTATTATGTGTTGTCGAAGGCTTTCATGGCTGGAATCACTGGGTTGCTGTGAGTTTTCTGGGCTTTCTGGCCGTGTTGCAGAAGCATTCTCTCCTAACATTTCACCCACATCTAAGGCAGGCATCCTCAGAGGCTGGGAGGTTTGTTGGAAACAAGGTAAGTGGGGCTTATATATCTGTTGATGAGTGGGAGAAAGAACTCTTGTCTCCTTGAGGCAATTGTGAATGTTGCAATTGGCCACCTTGATTAGCATTTAATGGCCTTGCAGCTTCAAAGCTTGGCTGCTTCCTGCCTGAGGGATTCCTTTGTTGGGAGGTGTTAGCTGACCATGATTGTTTCATGTCTGGAATTCCCCTGTTTTCTGAGTGTTGTTTTTCATTTAATCTCCCAATTTTAGAGTTTAATACTGGTAGCCAGATTTTGTTTGTTTTTATGGTTTCCTACTTTCAGTTAAAATTGCCCACATGCTTTTGGATTTCAATGGTTTCTCTGTGTAGTCTGACATAGTTATTAGAGTGGTCCAGTATTTCTGTGTTCTCAAATAATATGCTGTGTCTAGGTTGGTTCATCAGGTGCTCTGCTATGGCTGATCTCAGGTTGAATTAGTCTGCAGTGCCTTTCGTGTTCCTTGATTCGTGTTTGGGCAATGCTGCTGCATTTGGTGGTCCCTATGGAGACTTGTCCACAGCTGCATTGTATGCAGTAGAGTCCTGCAGAGGTGAGAGGATCCCTCTTGTCCTTTGCTGAGCGTATCACTTGTTGGAATTTCTTAGTGGGTCTGTAGATTGCTTGTAGGTTGTGTTTCTTCATCAGCTTTCCTATGCGGTCAGTGGTTCCCTTGATGTATGGCAAGACACTTTTCCTCTGGGTGGATCTTTGTCTTGACTCTTGTGGCTTCTTCTTGGTCTTGCAACTCTTCTGATGTCTGTGGTGGAGTCTACATTGGCCTGTAAAGCCTATGGATACTGTAGAGAATGCCTGCCACAGATGTGGGCAAAACATCAGGAGAAAATGCTTCTGGAACATGGCCATACAGCCTGGAAAACTCACAGCAGCCCGGTATTATTAGAGGTTTTAATTGATCATTATCTTGCTTTATCTCTCTAAAAAAGACTCAGAGCAGCTCACAATAGAACCAATACAATATAGTTTAAAACTTTAAAATATACAAACATTAAAATAGACTTAAACGGTTAACAGTATTAAAAATAAACAGTTTAAACCCTTAAAATCAGTTAAAAATCTATTCACCTGACACTACTCACCTCAGTAATAACAGCTGTGGTCTCCTCAAGAGCCTCAGCACTCTGCTCCTCCCAGAACTCATACAAGGGGTTAATTATATTCTTTGTTCTGTTCAACAGATTGAAATATGATATGGAAGGGGAGAACATACATAAGAAAATTATATATACTTCTTTGTAGCTGCACCCAAAGTATTTTTGTATTTCCCATTAATTACTTCTTGAACAAGCTAGCCAAAAGATAGTTTGAAAACTCGTTAAAGCAGGTAAGCTGTACTTTGGTAGAATTCACCAAGCTATTTCAAAAGAAAAAAGAAACCCAGTCTTTTCTGAAATCATACCTTTTGAGAACATAAGGGTCAAAAGGGAAAAAACTGTCCAGAGGATTTGTAACTGTTTCGATGGCGTCACCTCCACAGCTGCTTCTTATAACAGGCAAAACCTGCCTCCTGTTCCTCTCAATGATAGTGTCACAGAATGCAATCTGGTATTTCCTGGAAAAGAAAAAGGAAAGACAAAACCCACTCTTCCTTAGCTTCGGAAACAGAACTGTATCTTTGATTTTCCCATGATCGACCACCCTTCTCTGTCATGATATGATATATGATTTGAATGGAGTTGTATGAAAGGAATAATTTTTTTAAATGTCAGGAGCGACTTGAGAAACTGGAAGTTGCTTCTGGTGTGAAAGAATTGGCCATCTGCAAGGACGTTGCCCAGGGGATGCCTGGATGTTTCACCATCCTGTGGGAGGTGCATGAGAAGCTGCAGCTGACGGACAGGAGTTCACCCCGCTCCCCGGATTCAAACCACCAACCTTTCAGTCAGCAGTCCTGCCTTCAGAAGGGTTTAACCCATTGCGCCACTGGGGGCTCCAAAGGAATGAATGAATGAGAACTAATAATTTTGAAGACATCATTCTAAGAATTAAGGCCTGCACTGACTAAATACTTGCTTTCTGGAATTGTAATTAAAACTTGCTAATGAGAACTGAAATGGTTGACCTGCCACAGTAAACTATGATAAGAACTGTGACAGTTTTAAAGTTACTGAAAAATTATTCATAACATCTCTTCACCCATATCTCATATCTGTGTCAGCTCCACTGGCTGCCGGTTCAATTCCGAGCACAATTCAAGGTGCTGGTTTTGACCTACAAAACCCTTTACGGTTCTGGTCCAGTGTATCTGTCCGAACGTATCTCCCTTTACGTCCCACCCCGGAACTTGAGATCATCCGGGGAGGCCCTGCTCTCGACCCCACCGCTATCACAAGCGAGGCTGGTGGGGACGAGGAGCAGGGCCTTCTCGGTGGTGGCCRCTCKCTTGTGGAACTCACTCCCGGGYGAAATTAGGGCGTCAACATKCCTCCTRACCTTCAGGAGGAAGGTWAAGARGTGGTTGTGGGACCAGGCCTTTGMGCAARCTGACAATWAGATATGGAAACCAGATGAATAGGACTAAAAYGACTGACAATTYTGGYARMGGYATMTAAARTATGYYWRTGRYAAWRYCTGACRGRCAAGGAGGTTTGTATHGYWTTTMTATTGCTTTTATTGSTTTTATGGTTGTTTTTAKCTATWATAATTATTGTCTTTATGGTAATTGCTGTTATTGATAGAATTGTTGTTGTTAAATGATGTTATTGTCTTTTGCTGTATGTGATGCGGGCATCGAATTGTGCCTCGCTTTTTAAGCCGCCCTGAGTCCCCCCCGGGGTGAGAAGGGCGGGGTAGAAGCAACCGAAATAAATAAATAAATAAATAAATATCAATAGTTATCAGATACAGAACTGAAGAAAAGGTACATAGGTGTGCCTGGACACATGCACTCTGTATACTATATATAAATATCTACACAATTCAAGAGGAGAAACCAAGATTCTTACCTGGTAAGGGCAGCAAAGAAATTCACAATGGATGGCAAACAAATCTTCAGGGGGTTCAACTGCGACATAACAATACGTTCGAAGTTTAAGTTCTGCAGGAATAACAAACCTTCAAAACAAAAGTATTAAGGAACATTAACCGCTTAAGCAAAATTTCTCTTCATTTATAGTGGTGCTAATTTTTTAATGTATTAATTATGTCAGAAATGAAGCTCAGATGTTTCAAAAGGACACTCGTACACAAGCACCCCATTGTGATAGGTAAAACAATAATTTTTAAAAACCACTTGCTTCTACACATATTTTAGTGTCTTAAATGAACTGATACATTCACAGATACAATTTTCTATTAAACGGGTCCATTCGAATCAGAGAAAGTGTTTGTTTCAGCAGACTAACTACAGTTCTCAAAATAAACCCTTCCCATTCAACATCCATTCTGCCTTGTTCCTCACCCCAAGAACTCCAAAATAAAATAGATGATGGGGAATGGAGAAAAAATGGAAAAGAAATTGCACTTCAAGCACTGATATACATAGGCAAAGTGCTTCCACTGAATCCTCAATGGTAAAAGATGGCATTTATTTCAGAGGGGAAAAATCATCTTAAAGGAGATGAGATATGTCAGATCTTTGTTCCTTGAGTATCAGGTTAAAAGATAAAGGTTTCCCCCTGACATGAAGTCCAGTCGTGTACGACTCGGGGGTGTGGTGCTCATCTCCATTTCTAAGCTGAAGAGCCAGTGTTGTTCGTAGACACCTCCAAGGTCATGTGGCTGGCATGACTACATGGAGCACTGTTACCTTCCTGCCGGAGTGGTACCTATTGATCTACTCACATCTGCATGTTTTCAAACTGCTAGGCTGGCAGAAACTGGTGCTAATAGCGGAAGCTCACTCCGCTCCCCGGATTCAAACCACTGACCTTTTGGTCAGTAAGTTCAGCAACTCAGCAGCTGAACCTGCCAGTAGGCTGCTAGGAACTGTGGGAGTTGAAGTCCAAAAGACCTGAAGAGAAGGCCGAAGTTTGCCCATACCTGATATAAAGAGGGCTGAATAGCAATAAGGCAGCACAACATTGTGGGAACTACTTCATTCCAATGGATTACCATGAAGAATGTGTTCCTCAAAGTTATGTTTCAAGGATCCCCATTGTTTGCCCGCTTCCAAGTATGAAATGGATATAATATTTATCCCACAGACGACACCAGGATCCAGAACACCACTCCAAGCATTTTTTTCTTAACACTCTCAGCTTGAACACTTGCCTCTCTTTAAGCTTCCATCCAAGATTTGCTTGTGGCGAAAGATAACTATGTAGAACACAGCCTGGCAGGCGGCATAGAAAGAACCATGGAGAGCAACGTCGCAAAAGGCTTTTGACCCTGAGCCCTGATTGTCAATGTACAGGTGCAGCCAGTTCACCAGCAAGTCCAGGCAAGCTTTCACTGTACTGCAAAAAGGACACAAAAATGGATAAGGACAAAAGCCTTGTGGAATCATTTAACTGATGAGCAGGATGTTATCCTTTGAACAATAAATAATGAAGATACCATGCATTTTCTATGACACACTAAGTAATAATAAAATGCTTACATCCACCCTCAGAACTCTCTATATGAATAGGTTTTTAATTGCTTATTTTTAATATTGTGAATGTTGAATTCTATTTTAATGTTTGTATACTTTTAGGTTTTTAATTATCTTTTAATGGTTTTACAGAGAACTGCTTTGAGTTTCTTTTTTAGAGAGATAGTGAGATACAAATAACAACAGCAGCACCAACAACAACAACGATTTAGGAATTGCAGGAATGCCTTTGCCAGCATGACCAGGGGGCCATCAGGGAGTTGTAGTGCAAAATGTAACCAATCTATTATTATTTATTAATTTCTATCCTGCCTTTCTCCCAGATCAGGACCGAAAGGTATCAAATATCATTAAATATTAAACTGTATACAATAAATGAATGTAAATTTCAGATAAGCAGTTAAAAATCACAATCAAACTGTTGCATTCACAGTATGATACATAGTAATAGCATTCATAATGTAGTAAACTTCCTTGTTTATTTCCTTATTTCTTCCTGAAGGATGTTCCCTATTGGTTCCACACTATCTATGAAAAACTTTATTGTTAATGGACCAGATTCTTCAGTTGTTTGAACTAAATTACAAAAGTAAGTAGTATGTAATAATATGAGCAAATTTTACTAAGTCAGAAAACACTTTGTCCAACTGTATTAATGTTACATAACACAGACCCTACCACCAGACGAAGACTCTATGTAGTTGAAACCGGTTGAGGACTACGAGTCTACTCATCCTTCAGAAAGAATTAAGGAAATAAACAAGGAAGTTTACTACATTGTGAATGCAAGTACTATGCATCCTACTGTGAATGCAACAGTTTGATTGTGATTTGTAACTGCTTATCTGAAATTTACATTCATTTATTGTACACAATTTAATATTTAATGATATTTGATACCTTGTTATTATTCCATTAGTGGATACTTGTCAGTTAAACCCTTGGGAACCCATTTTTTTCTTATAGACCTACGGATTCATGTGGGTTCATAGGAGGAGATGAAGTCAGCTAAGTAAGCAGGGCCAAACCATTTAGCTAATGATGTATCTTAACCAAACGCTATCATAACATTTCAGGCATTATGAAAGATGAATTTATGAGCTCTTCCCAAGGTAGTGAGCACAACTGCATCACAGTTCTTCTGTATCAGTGTTTCCCAAACTCTGGTCTTCCAGGTGTTTCAAACTTCAAGCCCCAGAATCCCTGATTATTATTGGTCAAGATAGCAGAGGCTACTGGGAGGCAGTCCAAAGCACCTTGAGAACTAGAGTTTGAGAATCACTGCCAAAAGAAGGACTTGAGGAGTGTGCTTTATAGATGCAAAACATACAGGGCATTTCACAGCCTAATGTTCTTCTGGAATACTCTTTGAGTCTACATTTCTTGCCTTATTCTGCATATTATCGTGTCATAGGATACTTACACAACTGGAATGAATTTGGCCCGTGCCAAAAAGCTCCCAATGTAGTTTGCAGCCGACTGCCTGATGACTGTGGGAGTATTTGGATCCTGAAGCTTTTTCCAGAGGTGTTCCACAAAGGCTTCTGCAATTCCCTACAAGATTCGGGTAACACATAAATACTAGGGTGACTATATCCACAAGCCATTACTTGCTGACAATTGTTAAACCAAAATGTGTGAATGCCTTTCAATCCAAAGGCTGAATGCAGAATTCAGAGGCATTCCTGGATGCCATGTTTCAGCGGTGGATGGAATAACAGACAAAATGGTGGGACATATTTAAGAGTAAAGCTGTTATTGTCAGCAAGGTCATTTTAGGAGAGGCACCTCAATGCTTCAGAAGAGAAAAAACATGTATAAAACTTAGAAAACCATACAACTATGGGATTATGGGGACAGGCGGCAAACAGGGACCCAAGGAGGGCCATATTTAGCATAGAGCTAAATGTGCCTGATAACAAATGAGAAGGAAAGAACAAGAGGGGAAGGGAGGAAGAAAGAAAGAGGGAAAGATATCCTGCAGTTTTCAATGTCAAAACATTAGCTACAAGAGCCACTACAAACAAGCAGGGTCTTCCCAACACTTTAGTTTTCATGTATAATTATAAACAGTTACCAATGGCTGTTCTTGGATCCTATATATTCATTATTAAAGGATTGGGAAGAGAATGCTTCAGAACTTTTTAGCGGCGGCAGCAATACCTGGGCCAAAATGCTTCCAATGTACAGTTTGAAAAAAAAATGACTTGAAAGTGGATTACAGCAATGAGCCAAGCGGATGCTAAAATTTCAACTAATCAATAATTAGTGTTCTAAAGATGTTTGGTAATGTGTCTCATTTCACATAATGGCTCAGTGTTTTCTTACAGTGATTAATTCTCATACATGGGAATCAGTGGGACACAGAAGACCAAACAAATTTCACAGAAACCCACAGACCTAATGTGGTTTTCAGTTTTTTACATTTTTAATGGATTTTAACAATTTTTCATAATACCAATGATATTTAATTCTGTTTTAATGTTTGTATATTTGTAGCTTTTAAATTGTATGGAAATGTTTTTAATGTAAGCCGTCTTGAGTCTCCTGGTGGAGAGAAAAAGTGGCTTATAAATATTATTATTATTATTAATAATAATAATAATAATAATAATAATAATAATAATAATAATAGGCTGGGCTGTAGCAGAGCAGGTTAACCGCCAGCTGCAGTAAATCTTGCCAACCGAAAGGTCGACAGTTCAAAGCCAGGGTCAGGGTGAGCTCCTGGCCTTTAGCCCAGCTTCTGCCTACCTAGCAGTTTTGAAAACAGCAATGTGGGTTGATAAATAGGTATTGCTTAAGCAGGGAGGTACTGCTTAAGAAAAATGACAGAAAATGACAGAAAAATGCTGGCAATTCAATCAAGGAGGAAGTTTACAAACAAAGCTATTCAGCAGGGAAAGTGGAGCAACAGCACATCCCTGTGGCCGGAACCAAGCACAGCCTCCAAGATGCCGAAGATGGAAAAGCCTGTATATACCTCTATCTATGTACAGTTGTCTGTCTTGCCAAGGTATGACAGCATTAAATGTTTGTCATATATGTGTTTTGTGATCTGCTCTGAGTTCCCTTCGGGGTGAGAAGGGCAGAATATAAATACTGTAAATAAATTAAACATATAATGGTAATATATTGGTTAGTTTTAACTAGGAGACATTGCAGATCCCTGCTGCAATGTTAAACCACAAGCCAGTCAACAGTCTTATACAGTCATGAGGTACAAAGTGGAGTAAAAGACTGTGTATATGCTCCTAATAGTTTTTGAGACTGAATAGGAATAAAGATGAAAGGAAACAGATTTTTGGGTTGTCATAAATGAGGAATAAGGGTTATTGGCAAAGCAAATGGTGAATGTGTACGTTGTTCTGCTCACTGCTGGCATGCACTGCTGGAAAGCTACCTGTGAAGTAATGATATCTTCAGCTGGAAAAAGGTCTCCAACTCATTCATTTCACACTGTATCTAAACAGTCATTATGTCACTCTTATTTCAGCCAAAGACAAGAAACTATGGAAAGAGAAGACAATCCAAAGGAAAGAATGGTATAAAGTTGGACTATACGCACCAGTTTAAAGCTGGAGAGGTAGAACATGATATACTGCACATGACAAGAACCATGGGTTGGTAAAATCAGTTTATCAAATACAGCCACCAGATCCCGATACAAATCCTTGGTGTTGCCAATGTCAAGCTTCCCTAGAAATAAAATTGCCTCCATTACTGTGATCCTGGGCTGAGAGAAGACACGTGAGCTTTCTATAAAATAATTCAATCTTCTTAAAGTATTTTCCTAGTATTCTACTATGCTTAAACAGCCTGGAGCCAAGGCATTCCCCACCTCTGCTCCTGGCTTCAACACAAACATTTCCACTTTCCTTAGAGAAAGGAACAGAGACAAATCTAAACTGAATCTCATTCATCTTCAGGAATCCCTTTACAGAGGTTTTATTATGCTTAAATAGTTTTACCTAATTACCTCATCAGTAATAATCTGGGGAAAAATATCTAGGATCATTACACACGTGTTATTACCATTAACATGGCAGACGTCTTTAACATATGAAAATAATACGATCATTAGAATGTCCAAGCGTTCTGCCATTGGATGAACCATTGTGTCATTCTTCTCTGGATCTTCTCCATCTTCATCCTGTTTAAATAAAGTGCTAGTCAGAGAATTCTTGGCAAATTCAGAACTTCATGTAGTCCATTAGATATTACACAAGCAATACTCCTGACCTCATGATTGTCGGGGAAAAACAAAGTATTGATTGTCGCTGTTACAATCCCAGGTGACAGCAGAATTGATGAGAAACAACTGGAAAAGCTGACACGATATGAGGATTTAAAATAATAATAAAACTTTATTTATACCCCGCTCCATCTCCCCCAAGGGGATTCGAGGCGGCTTACATGAGGCCACGCCCATCAGTACAATAAACACAATATGACACAAAAACATAACAAAACCAGAAAATAAAATAATAAAATAAAATAATAACAGAACTGCAAAGACTCTGGCACAAGCCAGTAAAGGTGGTTCCAGTGGTGATCTGCACACTGGGTGTAGGGCCTAAAGACCTTGGGCTGCACTTGAAGACAATCGGCGCTGACAAAATTACCATTGGATTGGCACACATTATTCGCTGATACATCACAAAGTCCTAGACATTTGGGAAATGTCCGATGTGTGATCAAATACAATACAACAGTCAGTATTGTGATTTTGTTTGCTGTGTACTACTACTTCTACTACTACTACTACTACTAATAATAATCAACAGATCCCAAATGTAGACTGCAAGGGAGCAGATGAAACAATAGATCACATCCTCAGCTGCTGAAAGAAGATCGCGCAGACAGACTGCAAGCAGAGACATAACACCGTTGCTCAGATGATTCATTTGAACTTGTGCCACAAATACCATCTGCGACAAAGAACTGGTGGGATCACAAGCCTGAAAAAGTTACAGAAAAAGAACTACTCTGGGACTTCCGAATTCAGACAGACAGAGTTTTGGAGCACAATACTCGTGACCTCACGATTGTGTTAAAAAACAAAGTATGGATTGTCGATGTTGCAATCCCAGGCGACAGCAGGATTGAAGAGAAACAACAGGAAAAGCTGACATGAGATGAGGATTTAAAGACTGAACTGCAAAGACTCTGGCACAAGCCAGTCCAGGTGGTCCCAGTGGAAATCAGCACAATGGGTGCAGTGCCTAAAGACCTTGGCCTGCACTTAAACACAATTGGCGCTGACAAAATTACCATCTGTCAGCTGCAGAAGGCCACTTTACTGGGATCTGCACGCATTATCCGCTGATACATCACACCGTCCTAAACACTTGGAAAGTGTACAATGTGTGATCTAATACAACAGCCAGCAGAGTGATCTTGTCTGCTGTGGACTCATCTTGTTGTGTTTCAAATAATAATAATAACAACAATAATATATTTTTTTCTTACCCACCCCTCCTCAATAACTGCTGTTACTCCCTTTCTATCCTATTCTGCTTAATTATTCGTTTCCAATGACCGTTTGCCCTGTATAAGCCAATGTGAATGACTGACACCAAAATTCAACATGGCTCAGGTATATTAAAAAACTATAACAGAACAAGGTCCTAATCAAAAGCATATTTATTAGTTGAACACAATTATTTCTGATGAGCCATTCTTGCCAAAACTTCAAACACAGAAAACGTCACTTCTGAATCAATAACTAAATTAAAAATATTTAAATCTACCTAGTTATATAGGGATATACTCGACCATGTCAAAGGAAAAAAAGATGGAGTATCTATACAGCTAGATGCGACATTAACAAACATTTATTGTTATTAAACATACACCAAATAACAATGAAATGGCTTAACAAACAGCTTACCAAATCAAAGAGTCCTTTCTCGGCATTCTCCTCACTCTCAACTTCTTCGGCAGCTTCAATATCTTTTCTTGGGGCACTCACCTGTGAAAACAAGTAGGGATGCTGAAGTGGTCTCATACACATAATTTTCATACCTTTGAAAGTGCATAACAGGAAGGTACGAAAATCAGCTCAATACAAAAGCAAGTGGGAGCCAGTCCCGGCTCTTTGCCTGCTTTTCATGACCACTCAGCCTCCTTGCCTTGGAAAAAGAGTGCATGACTGGCGTGCAGGCCCAGAAACCATGCCTGCAACCAAGCACCTCCTCTGGAATAAGAGAACTTGCCTTGGAAAGTGTGTAGTGTGCAGCAGGCCCAGGAAGTATGCACACCTGTCGGCAGACAACTGCCTCCTCTAGAGTAAGAAACAGGTAATCTACCTAGTTATATAGGGATATACTCGACCATGTCAAAGGAAAAAAAGATGGAGTATCTATACAGCTAGATGCGACATTAACAAACATTTAAATTTAAGCAGGTAAGAAGCCTGCTTAAAACACGCGCCTGTCTGCAGCTGAGTGCCTCTCCTCTAGGATAAAACAGCTTAAATATCTAAAATGACAGGAAGGGGAGCCTGAGAAGCCCTCCCCCCCCCCCCCAATAATGGGCCAATAGAAAATGGATCTTTCGGCATCCCAGAGCTAAAACAGATATCTGCCTTCCCGATTTCGGATGGGGGCCCCAATGAAAGCCAGGGTACAAAACGGGTCAAGGTTTACCCCGAAAGCACAACCCATTTGTTTCTGCTAAAAATACCCCAAAAAGTGATATAACTGAATCTTTTATGAAATAGCAACTTACCATACTCTATATACTTACATCCACCTTTAATACTCTTTCAATAACCAGCTCTAAAATGTCATATCTCAGCACTGGGATGTATCCGCTAATTCGTAGTATGTTGTGCACATAGCATTGCTGTAATGGATGTTCCCACAAATAATGTAAGATACACACACACACAAACACATACATTTGAAAAAAAATACACTAACAGAGTAAAATTAGTATGATAATAAGCTTCTTTAATTTGTACTTTAAACTCAACACAAGATTTTATATAGGAATAATCCTACACAAGGTACTGTGCCTATTCCCAGTGTAACAATCACTGATTTTTGGGAAATTCCTACTTATAAATGTTCATACTCCATAGCTTTTGAAAGAACAATGGTGCTAACATTTCAAAAAATTAAAATGAAAAGCAATTAAATGCATGAAGGAAGAGACTGTTTATTTCAGTTACTGTCAATCTGCACCACACATCAGAGCCATCAGGCCCTAAAACTGCTCTATTTCTGATAATTTAGGGAGGAGGAGGTTTCAAAGAATCCATTCATAATAATACTGTTGCTAGAAACATAGATGGAAAAAACATCATCTCTAAAAAAACCGACCACTTACCAGAGTTCTTTCCGATTTATTAATAAATGGAAACTTTTCAACAAGCACAGGCATGAGAAATTGTGGTGTTCTGGAATATTAAAAAATCCAAAAAATATCACCTATAAGTTGCTGTACAAATCTTATATTTTAAAAAATGAACCATGACAAAAGAACATCCAAGAAATAATAACAGACTGAAGGGCAAGGTCTTCTATAGTCCTATAGGGGGCATGATACAGACGATGATGATGATGATGTTGTCGAAGGCTTTCATGGCCAGAATCACTGGGTTGCTATGAGTTTTCTGGACTGTATGGACATGTTTCAGAAGCATTCTCTCCTGACGTTTCGCCCACAACTATGGCAGGCATCCTCAAAGGTTATGAGGTCTGTTGGAAACTAGAAAAGTGAGGTTTATATACTTTAAGCTTTGAAGTGAGATATATAAACCCCACTTGCCTAGTTCGCAACAGATCTCACAACCTCTGAGGATGCCTACCATAGATGTGGGCAAAACGTCAGAAGAGAATGCTTCTGGATCATGGCCACACAGCCCGGAAAACTCACAGCAACCCAATTATTATATTCATTTATACCCCGCTTTAACTCTCCTGAAGGAGACTCAAAGCAACAGACAGATATCTGTTAATGAAATACATGTATTCCTGTACAATGCTTCTCTAACAGAATGTTTTTATCCAGAACTACAGCATGCACATGCAAAATGAAACAAGAATGGGTAAGCTTGGAAAACGTAAACCACAACATTCTGAACCTTCTTCAAACCACTTCAAAGTTTTTGCCAAAATGCCTCCAGGGATGAAATAAAGAGAGAAGAAACAGATATCAAAATAACTGATAATTACCAAATGATTACAAAAGGGAATAAGATCTTAAGATCTCATAAATGTTATTGAAATTTGTTCAAGAAAAATCAAATTTCAGTAAGAATATCGGTATGTATTTGAATATACAAAAGGTACCTCAAATATGGAAAGATCTATGACAACTATTAAACAAATCAATGACAGTGGAAGAAGTCTCCGAATTAATAATTAGAACTCTCCAAAGCAATAAGGGAGGAAAGGCCCCTGGCCCAGATGGACTATTAGAAATATATTACAAAAAAATTCATGAGGAGGTTTTTGTTTTTCTCGCAGCCTCAGAGGAAGGCAAAAGCAAACCCCTCTGAACAAATCCTGTCCAGAAAACCTTATGATATTGTGAAGGAGGGTATAACTACTGCCACCTAATCTGTGAGAAAAGCCGGGCAATGATCAATATCAGCTTATGAGCTGGTTTATAAAGGGACTATTAATTACAAAAGGCTTTATTCATTTGATAGCGTAGCGTTTACTGTCCCTAGCTTGACTTTACTTTTTATGCAGGCTGTTTGACTTAAGAGAAACTGTATCAGGCAAGGCTTGAGGAGAACAGTAACAATTTTATTGGAACAAGCAAGGTATAACAGATTTGATTGTTTCTTCACAAGAGGCACGAATCTTGCCTGGTTACATTAGTAAGGTTTCATGAGTAACCTCAGGCACAGACTTCAAGAGGTTTCTATACGCAGATGTATTTTTCCTGGACAACTGTCCCAACAAAACAAATAAGCCAAAAGGCCTATTCAACAGAATTGGCTCCCAGCCAAACCTTGATTCTTAACCCAGAATCAATAACCCCCTGTAGTTTTATCACTACCGGGTCCTTTCCTGTAACCTTTTTGGTCACAAATTAATTCCCTGAATCTCCACCCAGAGATTCAGTTTTCCCTGTAGCTCACCGGCTACAGACGGCCACTTTCAAAAAGCTGCGCCGTGAAGAGGCAGTTGGCTCCGCCCCCGTTGCTATGGCAACTCAGCTCAAGCCACCAGCCACCATCTCTAACAAAATATAATCCTACATACTTACCATTTATTAACTACTGTTTAAACAACACATAAGCATAAGAATAAAAGTTACACATCATCACAGATATATTCATCTTAGGCTTAGCATAAGACAGGAAAAAAGCTTGGGAGCATTTTTGAAGCACATCTGCTAGAAACCTTGGTATTCTAAATATGCTCCAGTTAATCCAACTTCAAAAGTAAGCAGAAGAAGGATTTTATCACCAAAAGGGAATATGAAATTTAGCATTATGTACTTACAAAGGGACATATTTCACAATTGTTTGCAATGCTCTGTGGCAGATGTCGAAACTCGCAGGTACATCTGCAAAAATCAAATCATAGAGCATGAACATTAATCCAGAAAATTTAGTTGTATTTCATACTTTATGGATGCAGTCTACTTTTCAATATAGCATGCATTAACCACAGAATCATAGACTCATAGAATCATAGAACTGGACGAGACCACATGGGCCATCTAGTCCAACCCACTTCTGCCAGGTAGAAAAAGCACAAACAAAGCACCCCCAACAAATGGCCATCAAGCATCTGTTTAAAAACTCCCAAGGAAGGAGCCTCAAACTGGACTTCAAGACAGAGAGTTCCATTGATGAACAGCTCCCCTTACAGACATGAAGTTCTTCCTAATGTTCAGGCGGAATCTCCTCTCCTGCCATTTGAACCCATGGCTCCAATGAGTCCTAGTCTCTAGGGCAGCAGAAAACAAGTTTGCTCCCTCTTCCTTAGGACACCCTTTCAGATATTTAAACATGGCTCTCATGTCTCCTCTGAACCTTCTCTTTTGAGGCTACACAGACCCAACTCTTTAAGCTGCTCCTCAGAGGGATTATTCATGATTGCTAGACCTTTGACCAATTTAGTTGCCCTTCTCTGGATACCTTCCAGCTTAAGAGTCAATATTTCTCTTGAATTGTAGTACCCAGAACTGTTCACACCATTCCAGGTTAGGCCTGGCCAAAACAGAATAAAGAGGCACCATGACTTCCATCGATCTGACACTAGACTCCTTTTGATGCAGTCCAAAATCCCATTGGCTTTTTTAGCTGCTGCACCACAGCAGCAGCTAAAAAAGCTACCTGTTGTCAAGCCAGGCATCACCAATCCTGTATCTACTGTTCTTATATATTTACTCTCTACACCTAGTGTATCTGTGTAGTCCCAATCACTATATTTAGTGGGAATTTGATAAATTAATGGAGGAATGTATGAAGTCTGTATGCAGTCATGGGATTTCATTAGTTTATTCAAGTTAACCATACCCTACTGTTCTCAATACAGTTAAGCATTACTGCAACAAGAACCACAGAGCAGATGTCATTGGATTGCAGCTCCCATCAGCCATGGCCAGTGTAGCCACAAAGCAGTATAAAAGAATCTGGAGGACTGAAAGTTGTCCAAGAACAAATGGTAATCATAATGTAAGAAACTTCTACTCACTTTCATCATCATCTGAATCAGAGATGTCCACATTGTTTTCTTGTATGGTTATTCGAGCTGGGAGGAAAGTGTCATTCTATTATTACATGATATTACTATTTGCAACTAAAATCTAATTGCCAAACTGGATATATGCTAGTTTTAAATAAATATTCCCAATGTCTTTGATTTGGATCAAAATACACAGATGCAAAAGAAGGAACAGACCCCTACTACTCTTTCGTCCTCTCTGAAAACCAGGGTTTGGGAAGCTTTTCAGTATATTTTCTAGAGATGTAAAATTTCCAGACATTTTGAAATCATGAAAAGAAACCAGAATTTTTTGGAATTTTTTTTAAAAAATTGCATATTCTGTGCAAATTAAATACACTTTTATTTTAGAAATGTAAAATGCATTATGCATAACTTGGTTTGGCAAAAACAATTAGAATGTTGATATATTAAAAGTACGAGATATTAGCCAAATATATACTTAATAAAAATAATGTAATGTATTTGACAGCACATTGTGTTCAAATAATTTGTTATAAATGGAGCTACAAGATCCTGAGATGAACACCTGAATTATAAGGAACCTCTCTGGTTTTGCCAGTTAGAGGAACAAGAGGGAGAAAATACAAAAAAAACTCACGTGGGATGAAGTGTGAAACAATCATCGCAAGACATGGCCTCAAGTAGATGGTCTGAGCAGACACTAAATTGCTTAGAAAAGCCAAGTATTCTTCCACTACAGCTGGGCTTCTTCTTAGCCATGACACCTTCTGCATTGTTATTATACATACAAGCATAACAAATTAAGCCCATGTACTAGAAAGAATGAATAAAATTCATCCACAAAACCCAGAAACGATTTGTGTATTCTTACCAACAAGATGGTGACCAGGTGTTCAAAATCCTTGGTCAAATGTGTCACAGAAGACCTGAATTCATGCAACCAGTTAATAATCTGGTCATCCTTAAAACAGAAACAATTTCATTTAATAACTCAATGTGGCAAACATGTGTAGAAATTATAAAGTGACAAGCATTACAAGTCTGTTTAGATCAATACTCTAAAATATGGTTAGGGAATGTTTGAATGAATCAGATTACTGATAAGAATTATAAACAACACGTCCAAGTCAGAACAGGCAAAAGTGATTGAAACATTTCATTATCTTAAATGTAAGAAATCATTAAATCGCTGAACACTACCTAAAACTCTGATGGAAAAAAAACTTACTTTAATGTCAGGATCCAACAGCTGATGCCTCAACAAATCAAAATCAATGGTATCTCCCTAAGAAGAGAAAAACAGCAAGGAGTAACCTGACAACATATCCTATGTCTCACAAGGGGTGACGTTGAGAAACTTATCTAAACATGTACAATAAAGACGGAATAATCAACTCTGGTTTTGCTATTTGATTTCTTATGAATAACTTATATATACTATCCAAGGCCAAACCTCCCAGACAAAAAGGTGACCCTTCAATTTGCACATCAGAACAGCAACACTTATGATTAATAATTGGGTACAGTAATGTTACCTTTTCATATTTGAGCAGGATTTCTGCCAACGATCCACCAAATCTGACTGTTTTCCTTGGTGGCGATCTCAGAAATTCATCTGTAGACAGCATGTTAGAAAGTCTAAACAACAAATGAAATCATAAGATGAAATATGAAAGCTATATTTAAAGCCAATGTGGTATAGTAGTTTGAATGTTGAATTATGGCTTGGGAGACCAAGGTCTGACTCCTGGATTAGCCAGGGAAGCCCACGGCTTGTCCTTGAACAACAGAGAAAGGCAGTGACAAAGACCTTCTGGGCAAAGATTGCCAGGAAACCATATGAAAGAGGTTTGCCTTCGAGTTGCCGTAAGTCAAACTTGAGTTTGGAGGCACACAAGACAGTATTCATGCTAACCCAAGAGGTCAGGTCATCACAATTCTTGCATTCCTGAAAACTGTGCAGTTTATTTGCTCCTCTTGACTCCATCCCAAGCAAGGACACTAATTAGAAGGTAAAAACTTCCCATGACATAGACAGCACAGAACATGGTTTTACTGCAGCTTTTAGTCGCTTTGAGTCCCCTTCGGGAGAGATATAGAAGGGTATAAATAAACATAATAATAATAATAATAATAATAATAATAATAATAATAATACCGGCCAAGATCATAAAAACAGAATCCTGACTAGTTTGGGAGCAAAGGACAGAAAAGTGGCTTCAAGTATCATGAGCTGCTTCCATTTGTTTTTATATTGTTTACTCTCTCTAGTATTCGCACAAGAAGTGAAAGTCACCGCAGTGCATATTAGTCCCGTACTGTGACTAGGATCACAGGAATCTTTGCTTCGCCTTGGACAGGGATGTGGCACTAAGGCCCCATCTATGCTGACCATATAAAGCAGTCTTAGCTGTATTATATGACGGTATAGATGGGGCCTCCATTAGCACTTGCATTCTTTTGAGAGACATCTGCTTTTCCATCACATGTGAAAGCTCCATGTAATCAATTAGTTTTCTATCCCATTCTCGGTCCAGACTTCCCATCTTTCAATAAATTCCTTTCTGTGGTGTTATTTCACTCACATAAATGCTGACCACTAGTTTCCAAAATCAATTTCTAACATCTAACCACTTTACACTGGGGCCCTATCTATACTTAAACCAGTTTCAAGCTGGTATTAAAGGAAGAGGTTTCGTTGTGCAGATGGTTACACAGGAAATACTGAAACTAGTTTGAGGCTTGGAGAGTGATGACCCAAACCCCAGAGCACTAAGGCACTGGAACAGCTTTCTTTCAGTTGTGAACCAACCTGGACACAGCATATTATTTGAGAACACAGATATGCTAGACCACTCTAATAACAAACATGTCAGACTACACAGATAAGCCACTGAAATCCAGAAGCATGTGGACAATTTCAACAGAAAGGAGGAAACCATTAAAATGAACAAACTCTGGCTACCAGCATTAAAAATCTCTAAAATTAAGACAGCAAATAAAGAACAACACTCAGAAAATTGGGGAATTCCAGACAAGAAACAATCAGGGCCAGCTAACACCTCCCAACAAAGGATTCCCCCAGGCAGCAACCTGCCAGGCTTTGAAGCTGCAAGACCGTTCAATACTAATCAAGGTGGCCAATTGAAACATTCACAGTTTCCTCCGACAGACAAGAGTTCTTTCTTCCAACCTGGACATTCCACAGATATATAAACCTCGCCTAGTTTCCTCTGAGGATGCCTGCCATAGATATGGGCGGAACGTCAGGAGAGAATGCTGCTGGAACATTGCCAAACAGCCCGGAAAATTCACAGCAACTCAGTGATTCCGGCCATGAACGCCTTCAACAACACAGTTCTGATACCCTTTCACATACTGGAAAATTGCATAATAAGAACTTACGCTTTAATGTTATTGAACAGTTATTCACAACAGTCGTCGTCTTCCAAGGCCGTGCCCTGCCCAAGAGTGCTGGCGGCTCAAGAAGCTGCCAATCCCCCTGACTCCCCACACAGCACTCAGACATGGCTCCCATGGCTCACTGAGACGTGCCGAACTGCGTGTAGTATACAGTGAGGATGCCCCTAGGACCCGGCCCAACTCACCCTGGTTCAGCGGCGCCCTCCTTCGGACTACCACTGCTGAGTAACAAGCCTCCGCCAAGGTCTGAAGCCTCCGAAAGCCTCCGCGGGGTCCATGCTCTTCACGCCCAAGCCGGAAAGGCCTCCACTTCCTGCTCTGTCCCCGGAAGTTGGAAGCAGCGCCTGGTCCGGAGCAGAGCGGACTAGCGCCCCCTGCGGCAAGGCGTGGAACTTCCCCATCATCTCTGCACACTGTGTCTGTGAGATCTGTGCGTGGGCAAACTTCAGACCTCCTAGCATAAGTAAAAAAAGGATTATTATAGGCGGTAGGAATTGTAGGAGTTGAAGTCCAAAACACCTAGAAAGCCCAAGTTTGCCCATGCCTGCTATATATGCTTCTATGGATTATTTGGAACAAGATTCAGATTCTTTTACATTCCTTTTCACACATATTTGAATATGCAGCATCAGCTTTAAGTCTGGAGACCTCTACGCATTCATTATCCAGGCGTATGTTCTGCCGAATCCATAAACCAATGTTCATCAACCAAAGACACACCCTTCCCGTGTTGCTCTAACAGTGTTTCTCAACCTTCCTAATGCCACGACTCCTTAATACAGTTCCTCATGTTGTGGTGACCCCCAACCATAACATTATTTTTGTTGCTGCTTCATAATTGTAATGTTGCTATTGTTATAAATGTAAATATCTGATATGCAGAATTTATTTTAATTCATTGGACCAAATTAGACAAATACCCGATATGCCCAAATTTGAATACTAGTGGGGTTGGGTGGGATTGATTTTGTCATTTGGGAGTTGTAGTTGCTGTGATTTATACTTCACCTACAATCAAAGAGCATTCTGTACTCCACCAATAATAGAATTGAACCAAAGTTAGCACACAGAACTCCCATGACCAACAGAAAATCCTGGAAGGGTTTGGTGGGCATTGACCTAGAGTTTGGGAGTTGTACTTCACTGTGGACTCAAACAATGATGGATCTGGACCAAACTTGGCACGAATATTCAATATGCCCAAATGTGAACACTGGTGGAATTTGGGGAGAATAGACTTGACATTTGGGAGTTGTAGTTGCTGGGATTTATAGTTCATTACAATCAAAGAGTATTCTGAACCCCACCAATGATAGAATTGGGTCAAACTTCTCACATAGAAGTTTTTTATGGTCTTTGATGAACCCTCTGAAACCCCCTCATGAAACCGCCCAGGGGCCTTGACCCCCAGGTTGAAAAATTTAGAACTGGTGTTTCCAAACTTTGTACAGAGATAGGACCCTTGTTGGCAAGCCTCTTTGTCGTGTTCGGGGTTCATCTCAATTTGTTTTTCCTCATCCAGCCTATTACCTTCTCCATAATAATAATAATAACTGTGGTTTTATTGATCCAGCAAAGTAATCCTCTCCTATGTATCTATCTATTATATGCTTCTGTTATGACAGTGAAGACATCTGCCCTTGCACTTTGCTACTTTGTTGCTGAATACGTAAGTCTAGTGTGGAATACTTCTCACCACTTTAAAACAGTGGATGTGACTCTAACTGAGACATGCCACATTATCACAAAATGTCTACGCCCAACACAGCTGGAGAAATTGTACTATTTAGCTGGTATTGCATCACCTGGCATCTGTCGGGAAGTAGCAGTCAATAATGTAAGGACCAAGGCAGTGACATCTCCAGCCCATCCTCTGTTCAGATATCAGTCAGCACGCCAACGCCTTAAATCAAGAATTAGCTTCCTAAGATCTACAGAGATACTCACAGGAACACCTCAGCAAGTGAGAGTCCAAAAGTGGCAGGCTAAAACCCAGAACCTCAATCAGTGGTTGATACCGGATGAGAAACACCCTCCTTGGCACAGAGAAGACTGGGTGACATGGAAGACGCTGAACAGACTGTGTTCTGGCACCACAAGATGCAGCGCCAACCTTAAGAAATGGGGCTACAAATTGGAGTCCGCAATATGCAAGTGTGGAGATGAGCAAACCACAGACCACTTACTACAATGCAATCTGAGTCCCACCACATGCACAATGGTGGACTTATTTACAGCAATATCAGAGGTACTCCAAGTGGCCACTAATGGTCAAAGGACATTTATTATAATGCCAAGTTTTTAACTTTGTGGTTTTTAAAATACATTATAACTGTATTCTCAAATCACTTCTGACATAATAAATAAAACATTTGCTTCTATTTAGAACGATATTCGTACATCTACGCTTAAAATACGGGCATCCACATCCTTGGAAGTATTAATATTATTTTCCTCTATACTACTATGGGAAAGGTTTTTAAAAAACATAAATTCTTTTTTATTCAGAATTCAAAGCTATCTTTAATTTCAACCATTTTAATTTAAACAACCAAATAAGTCTTATGTCACGTAAGATACAGGCAGTGGATTCCCCCCCCCCCACATATATTTAAAGTATATATATATATATATATATATTCCAGCATATATTTTAAATATTTGTTAAGCGATGTAGCTCCATAGTCTATGGTTTTTTGGCAAAGAAAGCATTAATTTCTCAATAATATCCCATTTTCCGATGACGAAAACGATGTTCGTATTAATTTTGCACTAAAAGACGCATTTGTCGTGAATATTCCAACCTTTAGCTAATGCAAAAAGAAAACCTATAAATAAGAAATAAATACATACATAAATACAATAATCATCTTTGGGGAATTAGCTGCCATGTAGAAATGCAACATAAGGCTTCTTAAGTTCAATGGCAAGTCTTGCCAAGTTATCTTTCCTGTCTCGTATCTGAGTGTTTTGAAACGTCTGCATTGCTGTATTTAGAGAAGACAAAAATGGGAACGTTTCACGGGGAGGGAAGGCAGAGGCCTCTTTATCCTATTTAGTTGAGGATAAATTCACGAATGCTTTTTGTTCCAACTGAATTGGCTCCAAATAACCTGGTCTAGAAGACAATATGTATATTTTTAAAAATAACTTGGAAACGGTGACCGACTTGAGGCCACAATTCAAAGTGTAGGAAATATGGGAAATAGATGTGGCCCAGCTGGTAGTTTGACAGTTAAAAAACCCACAGCCGCCATTATTGTTCCTCCTTGAAGGGATTCTTATGGCAGCTAGCCTTTTTCTAGGCCGACATGTTCGCCAAATCTTTCTCAGGAGTTAGAGATTCAAATCCTTGCTTCAAAAGATGTGGGCCTATCTCAGGCATGGGAAAACTTGGGCCCTCCAGGTGTTTTGGACTTCAACTCCCACAATTCCTAACAGCCTCTGGCCCCTTCCTTTTCCCCCTCAACCGCTTAAGCAGATGAGGGGGAAAAGGAAGGGGCCCGAGACTGTTAGAAATTGTGGGAGTTGAAGTCCAAAACATCTAGAGGGCCCAGGTTTGCCCTTTTGCTTTTTGCATTCTCTTCTTTCTATTCATAAGCCACTTTGTGTGAGGAAAAAGCACGAGCGACTGAAGAAGGGAAGGCCTCGTTGGCTGTGCTAAGGTGGACATCGTCGTTGGAACAAGCAAGCGTGGATGGCGCATCTTCTTCAAAATCTTAGCCTCTTCTGCGACGGCGGGCTACCGGTCACTGTCTCTCCAACGGCAGAGTCAGCCTCAGTCTTCTTGTCAGAGTGGACCGGCTTTGAGTGGAAGGAGCCCGAGAGGTGCCTGCCAAGGGAGCGGACCATGAAACGGACCCGCCAGGCACGGCCTGTCGCTTCGGCCTCCATCGCCGCGGGCATGGCCTCCTCGCCCAAGCCTATGTCATCCTGCAGCTCGTCCGGCGGTACCTCGATGTTGCCCACGTACCAGAAGACCCACCAAAGGAGGCTGAAGAGCAGGCCCACGCCCCCGCTGTAGATTAGCAGGTCTGCAAAAAAGACGTCCACGAAGGAACCCAGCAGCAGAAGCGACAGGCCCGCCGCATCGAAGAGCAGTGCCATCCAGAAGGCCCCACGGCAACGACCTGCCCCAGCAGCCTCCATGATGCCTACTACACAAGGGCTACGGAAGGCCCACAGTCAGGATGGAAGGCCTCTTCGCCGTGTCTCTATGCGGACACAGCCTCTGCACAGACCTCTGAGCGACTGATCCCAAAGACATCCCAGACTGGGATTATAATACTCTGTAAATACCTAGGACAGTGGTTCTTAACCTTCCTAATGCTGTGGCCCCTTAATACAGTTCCTCATGTTGTGGTGACCCCCAACCATAATATTATTTTAGTTGCTACTTCATAACTGTAATTTTTCTACTGTTATGAATTGTAATGTCATTATCTGATAGGCAGGATGTAGTTTCATTAATTGGACCAAATTTGGCACAAATACCCGATACACCCAAGTTTGAATACTGGTGGGGTTGGGGGGAACTGATTTTGTCATTTGGGAGTTGCTGGGATTTACAGTTAAACTACAAAGAGCATTCTGAAATCCACGAATGATGGAATTGAACCAAACTTGGCACACAGAACTCCCATGATCAACAGAAAATACTGGAAGGGTTTGATGGGCATGGACCTTGAGTTGAGGAGTTATAGTTCACCTCCATCCAGAGAGCACTGTGGGCTCACACAATGATGGATCTGGACCAAACTTGGCACAAATACTCAATATGCCCAATTGTGAACACTGGTGGAGTTTGGAGAAAATAGACCTTGACATTTGTGAGTTGTAGTTGCTGAGATTTATAGTTAACCTACTCAAAGAACATTCTGAAATCCACCAATGATGGAACTGTGCCAAACTTGGCACACAGAACTCCCATGACCAACAGAAAATACTGAAAGGGCCTGGTAGGCATGGACCTTGAGTTTGGTAGTTGTAGTTCATCTACATCCAGAGAGCACTGTGGACTCAAGCAATGATGGATCTGGACCAAATTTGGCACAAATACCCAATATGCCCAAATGTGAACACTAGTGGAGTTTGGGGAAAATAGACCTTGACATTTGGGAGTTGTGGTTGCTGGGATTTATAGTTCACCTGTAATCAAATAGCATTCTGAACCCCACCAATGAGAGAATTGGGCCAAACTTCTCACACAGAACCCCCATGACCAACAGAAAATACTGTGTTTTCTGATGGTCTTTGGTGACCCCTCTTTGGTGACCCAGACAGCAAAAGACCAAGTGCCAGTCAACACCTCCCAAAGGATGCCTCCAGTCAACAAAACAGATTGACTCTGCAGCTGCAAGGTTACTCAATGCTAATCAAGCTTGCCAACTGCAACATTTACACCTCTGTTAGACAAAGATTCTTCCCCCACCCTGGACATTATTCCATGCACACACACACTCCACTTGCTTCACTGCCAACAGACCTCTGAACAAATCTCTGAGGATGCAATTAGCCACAGATGCAGGCAAAACGTTAGGACAGAAAGCTAATGGAACATGGCCAGACAGTCCGAAAAACCCATAGCAACTCATCAATAGAAGTTTTATTTCTGCAGAAGCAAAATAACAGGTGAGTTCTGGAGCAAAGAAAGCCAGGTGTACCACAAAGAACAATCAAATGGCAACAATATTTACTTTACTCGAATCTAATGCTCACCTTTTCATTTATTTATGAAATGTATATCCAGCTTTCCTGTCAAGGGCCCAAGGTGGCCTACAGCCAGTAAAAACATATACATTTTTTAAAAAGCTAAAACCATAAATATTAGCAAATGTGGTGAAACACTAATTAAAACCCCAATAAAATACATTAAAATACAAAAGCAAAAAGTACCACTCTTTTTATTCCACCCCATTCCATAGAGGGCATCATGTATAATTTAGTGAGCTTAATTAATAACTCTCCCCTTAGTGTTTTTATCAGTTTCACAAGCATCAGCCAGCTGGTCTGAGTTTTCAGAAACACACCAAATCTATTAACTTGGGAAAATAATTTTATTACATACCTCTGTTGGTTTAGTAGCTATGCTTTATTGTTATTATTTCTCAGATGGATAACTGGATCCATCTTAAATACAGGTAAACTACAGATAGAAAAGACGGTACAATCTATATGACAGAAATACAGCTTGACTTTACAGATTAAGACTCAAACAGATTAGTATTGCAGCTTTTTTTTAACCAATTCATAAAAGCCATTATAGCTGCTAAGAAAAAGTGGATGCAGAAAGTCAACATTCATTATGGCCCTTATGTTAAAATAGTAACTAATATACTCTTCTCCACTGTTGTTTATGAGAACTGTAGCCCTTTCCCTTTCTTGAGTTCTTGTGCAGGGGCTTTGGGAGCTTTCTTGGAAGACTTCTTGGCTTTCTTCATTTTAAGAACCTGAGAAGATTTTGCTGCCGGTTTCTGTGGCGGAGTCACCTGCTTCTTTTCTGAATTTTTTTGGTTTGGAGTCTTAGACTTCTTAGACTGTCTGAGAAGCTTTGGTGTCTGTGAGACCGATCCTTCACCAGGTTTTTCCAGCTGTGTTGCAGGGGCGCCCGATGTTTTCCTCTTGCCCCGGAGAGCCACTGATCCCTTTGTGCTTGGCTTACTCTTTTTTCCTGGAACAGGACTAGGCTCCACTACCTACAATAAAGGGAGAAAGTGTACAGAGTACACTAAACTAGTCATAACTTGAACTAGTCAAAATTGTCCACCTGGAGGCGGTTCCTTCCAGATATTTTGGACTATGACTCCCCAACTCCTTCTTACTGGCAATACTGAATACAATGACAGCATCTGTTCTATAAAACACCCTGAGAGTTGAAAGGTCTCCATCTTTACTGTAAATAATAATAATAATAATAATAATAATAATAATAATAATAATTTATATATAATTATTATTATTATGGTGGGATCATAAATCTGCGAAGGTAGTGGAAAATGTACATGCAAAAATACCGTGGGACTTTCGAATCCAGACATCACGATTGTGGAAAATAAAAAAGTTTGGATTATTGATGTCGCCATACCAGGCGACAGCCAAATCGATAAAAGACAACAGGAAAAACTCAACCATTATCAGGACCTCAAAATCGAACTGCAAAGGCTCTTGCATAAACCAGCAAAGATGGTCCCAGTAGTAATTTGTACGCTGGGTGCCGTGCCAAAAGGTCTCAGCCAGCATTTTAAAATAATAAACATTGACAAAATCACAATCTGTCACTGCAAAAGGCCACCAAAGCGGTACCTATTTATCTACTCACATTGTTGTTTTCCAACTGCTAGGTGAGCAGAAGCTGGGCTGACAGCAGGAGCTCATCCCAACCTGGGCTTGAACTGTCGAACTTTTGATCAGCAAGATTTTTTGCAGCTGGCGGTTTAACCCGCTGTGCTAAAGCCTGGCCCACCCTGAGAATTGAAAGGTCTCCATCTTTAATGTACATAATGCTACTCAGGGTGGAAAAATTGCATACAGAAGGACTCATTGGCTACTTATTCAATTTGTTGCTTATCTTCCTCCTTAGCAGCCAACATATTCTTAGGGCCCTTCCACACAACCATATAACCCAGAATATCAAGGCAGAAAATCCCACAATATCTGCTTTGAACTGGATTATCTGAGTCCACAATACCATATATTCCAGTTCAAAGCAGATAATGTGAGATTTTATTCAGCTGTGTGGAAGGGGCCTTAGTGTTAGTCTGTAAAGGAGGAAGGAAAATTAGCTGCCAAGAGCAAAATAGCAAAGATCATCAACAAAGAGGAGAAGAGAATCAGTTGCTCTGCCCTCTGTACTAGATTTTTAGGTGTCGCTTATTATAATTTTTGCTGTGGGCAATATTTTATTATGACATATATTGTCAAAAAGTAGTCTTCGTTTCACTGGATATACAAAGTGTCAGTAGAGACAAAGCTAAACACCAGCTGAAATGTAAATACAGGTGTTAATCCAAAGGCTGAGGCTAAATCTTTCTTCCTATTGGCTCAGAATGATGAATCGTGGTAGAGTCATAGGAAAACAGGGAACTTGGGGGAATTTAATGAAACACCATTTTCCATGCAAGTAATGCATGATGTGATGTTCTGAATGTTCAACATACTTCAAGCTTAGAATAGAAAGTAATTACCTTTCCCCCGTTTGCAATGGGAGAAGCTTCAATTGGAATCAGTTGTGGAATATCTCCATCATCTTCCTTTGATTCAACCATGATAGAGATGTCTGTTGTTTTCAGGATTGTTCCTTTAGAATCAGAAGCATCACTTTCATCAGCTATCGTTGAGCTGTTTGCTTTAGCAATGTTTTTGGTTTTATTCTTTTCTTTTTTTCTCTGTGGCAAAGTACACTTAAAAACAAATTTATAACACTGTCAATGATTCAGTCTATTAATGAAAAGGTCACTGATTTATAGAGAATGTAACTATGTAAAAAGACAGTGCAAGCATAAGACTAATAGTCATAATTTTTTGGCATGTGTTAATAGTGAAGATTTCAACAACTTCTAAATGACAAAGTCCCAACATCTAGCACTTGAATTAAGGAATGCAGGAAACATGGTAGACAGTCTTAATGTAGCAAGTATGTTGGTTTCTGTTTGTTTTCCAGAAGGGATATTTTCACTTTTGTATTTGAAAAAGATTGTGAATGAAATTAACTAACTAATTAACTGTATTTTTATCCTGCTCTCTCTCACCAGAGCAGCTTACAATTTGGCAATGTTGCATATTCAAACAAATATATAATACAAAGCATTATATAAACAATAAACCAAATAGAAACATATAAATACCATAAAACTATTGAAACATGATCCCTAGTCTTACAGTCATTTGTGTTGCTACATTACGCCTAATTAATACTGCAATATCCAAACACCTCCATAGCCACGTCTTCACTTTTCCCCTGAAAACCAGGAGGGAGGGGGCCAGCCTGATATCACCGGAGAGAGAGTTCCATAGATGAGGAGCCACCACTGAGAAGGCCATGTCCCTCGTTCCCATGCTTGTGAAGGAGGTGGGACTGAGAGCAGGCCCTCCCTGGCAGATCTTAATGTTCTAACCAGTTCATATGTTCAGACAGGTAAGTTGGGCCGGAGCCATTTAGGGTTTTATAGGCTAAAGTCAGCACTTTGAATTGTGCTCAGTAGCAGACTGGCAGCCAGTAGAGCTGATGCAACAGGGGGGTTGTATGCTCCCTGTACGTCACTCCAGTGAGTAACCTGGCCGCTGCCCATTGAAATACTTGGAGCTTCCAAACAGTGTTCAAAGGCCACCCCACATAGAGCATGTCACAGTAGTCTATTTGAGATGTAACAAGAGCGGGGACTACCATGGCTACATCTGACTTGCCAAGGTACGGGCACAGCTGGCACACAAGATTTGATTGTGTGAAAGCACCACTGGCCACCACCAAAACCTGGGGTTCCAGGCTCAGCGACAAATCCAAGAGAATTCCCAAGCTGCGAACCTTTGTCTTTAGGTGGAGTGTAACCCTGTCCAACACAGGCTGTAACCCTATCCCCTGTTCGGCCTTTCAGGACTTGAACAGCCTCCTTAGCAGCAGGTGGAAAGGTGATAGAGTTGGACATCATCTGCGTACAGATAACATCGAACTCCAGAACGCTGCATGATCTCTCCTAGTGGCTTCATGTAGATGTTAAACAACATGGGGGACAATACTGAGCCCTGTGGGACCCTACAGGACAAAGCTGCAGGGCCAAGCAGTTGTCCCCCAACAACACTTGAGAGTGATCCTCCAGGAAGGACTGGAACCACTGCAGGACAGTGCCTCCAAGTCCCATTCCTGTGAGGCGTTTCAGAAAAATACCATGGTCTATGGTATCAAAGGCTGCTGAGAGAACTAACAGTGACATATTCCCCCTGTCAAGTTCCCTGCGTAGATCATTGACTAAGGAGACCAAGGCTTTTTCAGTTTCATGGCCCGGCCTAAAGCCAGACTGTGATGGGTCCAGATAATCAGTTTCTTCCAGGAACACCTGGCGTTGTGAGGCTACTACACGTTCCAGAACTTTACCCAAAAAGGGGAGATTGGAAAGTTGTTCAATTGAGTGAGGTCCAGTGATGTTTTTTTCAACAGCGATTTGATCAGTAAAGTATAATTCATCCCCTCCAATACCTGTTATTTTAAAATATATTTGAATACAATTCTCAATAATATAAAGATGAATTCCATATTCCTGGTTTTTATTTGTTGAAAGATGAAGCCATGGATAATGACTTCTGGCAGAAGCATACCATAGAATCATTCTGGAGGATGCAAACAAGATATAAAAAAAGATAAGGACTTGGAAGGACAGCTCATGATCCCAAGTAACAAGATACATAACTGGACACTAAAACTATGATAATCTAAATAATCATATTTGCCATTTCTATGCATTGTCATGAAAGCTGGATTATGAAGACAGCGGATAGGAAGAAAATCAACTTATTTGAAATGTGATGCTGGAGAGTATTGCTAAAAAAGATCAACAAATGGGTCCCAGGGCAAATCTCCCTAGAAACCAAGATGACGGAACTGAGACTATCGCATGTGGAACATATAATGAGAAGACATGACACACCAGAATGGAGATCATATTTGAATAACCACCCAATACAGCCATTGAGCTGAAAGCACCTACTATGCACTAGCCAATCCCTTACCTGTCTTTCAGTGTCTGTCTCTTTCTGAATCGTATCTGATTTGGGTTGGATCCAAGTAAAGACTGGAAGTGCAACTGATTTGTCTGTTTTGAGGTGAAGAATTTTAACACTTCTCCAAATCTGCAGTAATGAACACAAACATGTATCTCATGAACAAATGCAGACATATCAAACGGCTTTTACAAAGTTACACAGCCCAAATATAGGCATATTTATTTGAAAGCAAAGGTCAACAGCATTAATATGCTTTACCTTTTTTGCAGATTAGATGTATGTACTATATATACTTGTGTATAAGTCAAATTATTATTATCATTATAAAGGCAGGGCACAGCACAGTTAAAACACATCATCATAAAATACATACATTAAAATGACGATGATAAAACACATCATCATAAAATACATACATTAAAACACATCATTACCAAATACATAGTTCAAGGATTAAAATACAATACAAATACATATATTAAAATACAAATAGTAGGTAAATTTAAAATTTATAGACACATATGAATATTTGCTGCAAATGTGCAAATGATTTGCTTTAACATCATTGCATCATTACCTGTGGTGCTTTAGCAGCAATCACATTTGCAGCAGCAATAATGTTCTCCGAAATCTGCCCAGCTTCCATGCCGGTGTGACCAATACGCACCGAACTGAAAGAAATAAAAAGAGCCAGGATATAAGGGAACTACTTCCAATGCTTGGCTAGGACTTCACAGATATATAGATTCTAGCCCCATTAAACATCGCTATATAACTTAGAGAAGTCACTCACTTCTCTAAGGCTGACTGACCTCTGCCTCACATGGTTACTCTGAAGAAGACACGAGGAAGGAAAGAACTAAATATGAGATGTTGCCTTGAGCAAACTGGCCGGGTTTTAGTACAGTGGGTTAAGCCACCAGCTGCAGAAAATCTTGCTAATTGAAAGGTTGGCAGTTCAAGCCTGGGTTGGGGTGAGCTCCCACCGTCAGCCCACCTAGCAGATCGAAAACAGCAATGTGAGTAGATAAATAGGTACCGCTTTTAGCAGGGAGGTAATACAAAGGCGCCCATAAGAACATGCTGGCAATTTAATCGGGAGGACATCTATGGACATCAAAGCTCCTCTGCATGGAAGATGGAGTGTCAGCACCATCCCATGGCTGGAATCGAGCACAGCCTCCAGATGCCAGAGATGGAGAAGATGGGAAAGCCTAACTGTTTATGTATTGTCTGTCCTTGTTAATGGTATAACTGCATTAAATGTTTACTGTATATGTGTTCTGTAATTCACCCTGAGTCCCCTCAGGGAGATAGAGCAGAATATAAATAAAGTATATTATGTGAGATTTTATTTCAGAAAGGTATTCTTTGATTCTCAGAAAGATCAAAGCAATTGGCCTGTCTTTGGAAGCACTTACAAATGTGAAAGCCTGCAGGTCAGTCAAGAGCAGACTTTTGAATCTTGACTTTCATAATCTGACTCTTGGAGTAAAGACAACTTCTTCCCCTACCACATCATTAATTCCATGCGAGTGTGGAGTCACTTCGCATTTTGATTAATCCCACCCAGATGAGAGCTTTGGCAACTGCAAGATGTAATAATGCATTGCCATCATCAACTTTTTTGGGTGGGAGATATAAAAACGTTGAATGTTCCAAAAGGGTTTGTTCTTGTGATTTGAACATAACAGAACAATTTCAGTCAATGACCAACATTAAAAGAACCAGTAGAACATGAATAAAACATACATTTTGCAACTTGGTTTCTGCTGAAACATTTCACCATTCTTTGTTTGTATGCCCCAAATATGATAATATACGGATGAAATACAAGATTTTTTTTTCAATGTTCTCAATGGCAAGGGTGTTATAAAATTCCATACCTTCTGAACCACTCTGATGCATCTTTTGTGAGAGTCTTGTAAGTTTTATAATTTAGATTCATAACTAATAATAATAATAATAATAAACTTTATTTATATTGTACCTTATCTCTCAGGAGTGACTCAAGAGTGGATTAATTTAATATATAAGGCAAACATTCAATGCCTTTTCACACTGTGAAAAAAGACATACAATAGAGAGACAGAGGTAAAGGCCTTCCCCTTTCCATTTCTGGCATCTAGAGGCGATGCTCAACTTCAGCCTTGGAGAGGTGCTCTTGTTCCATTTTTCCATGCCGATGAGCCTCTTGTCCATAAACTTCTCCAATCGTTGCCAGCATGTCTGCATGGGGTGCTCTTTTACCTCCCCGCTGAGATGGAACCTATTGATCTACTTGCATTACATGCTTTTGAATTGCTAGGAAGGCAGAAGCTAGGGCTGACAGCTGGGAGTTCACCCTGACTTGCGACTTCAAACTGTTAACCCTCTGGTCATCAGATTTTCTGCAGCTAGCGGTTTAACCTGCTGTGCTACTGCTTTCCTTTTTTATCGGTGACTTCCTCTTGTTGTATATGCATGTGCTGTGATTTTTGTTGGTGTATGCCAATAATGGCTGTGTTATGTATAGGCGAGATACAAAAGTATCTCAATAAGTGGTCTGGTCTCAAACAGGGACAAGACGCGTACTAAGGAAGGAATTAGTGCCAACGAGACTCGAGGCCCACCAACAGCCAGACAAAAATATGTCCTTCCCTAATGTTGTCCCTTACAATTTGTTATAAATTCTTTTCTTGAGCACTATTTAGCACCAAAAGCTGCCTTGAATGCCTTTTCAGAAAGGGGTAATATAAAGTAAATGGAAGAGGTAATATCCCGGCTTTTGTGTATATAATACTTACTAGCAACATCCTTTGTTGGTGACAGGAAGAGTAGTTCCTTGGATGTGTTTGTTTATTTCCTTAGCCAGATTCTTTGCTCTTAGGTTCACGGACAGAGGAGCTCTTAAATCAAAGGGAAATGTGATAATTGAGAAAAAGCAATTATGCTTACGTTGAAAAACTCTGGCCCAAAACTCTGAAAAGACAAAATGCTTACTTTTTACTCCTATAGAAGTGTTTCCCGATGTGTGATGGCAGGAGCCTTCGGATGCGATCATCAGACAGGAAAAGAGCAAACCGACTAAGGAGACGACGCTTGGCTTCAAAAGGCTTGTATTCCTTTTTGAGTGTTTTATAGGAGATGACCTTCCAAAAACAGGGGGAGGGAGAAGGAAGAGATTGAGTCTCATCATTCTTAACTACTGCATTCTTATTAGGATGATTAATAACTTAAACTTTGATGGAAAAAGCAAATATAATTTCAGTAAGGTTTATTTATTTATCATGTCAGAAGTGAATTAAGAATACAGTTCTAATGTATTAAAAAAACCCACAAACGAAGTTAAAAACTTGGCATTATACTACATTTTCTTTGACTAAAAGTTGGCCATTTGGAGTGCCTCTGGTGTCACTTGAAGAAGGTCCTCCATTGTGCATGTGGCAGGGCTCAGGCTGCATTGTAGTAAGGGGCCTGTGGTCTGTTCTTCTCCACACTCACATGTCGTGGACTCTTCATTGTTAGCCCCATTTCTTAATATTGGCTCTGCATCTCGTGGTGCCAGAGCACAGTCTGTTCAGCACCTTCCAAGTTACAGACACTTTTATACAGATTGGTCTAGTGGAATGCTAGCAATGCATGTTCTGGCTTGCATTAAGTAATGAAAATCACTGAGTATTTGGCCAGCTACTCTTATCTACCCCCACAATGCTTTCATAAGGATTAAGTGGGGAAGAAGTAAAATATAGCCTCTTGGATTGAAAGGAGTTTTATCTATACACATAATAAAGGTAAAAATATGTTTGTATGTGTGTGGCTGGGGTGTCCACTTCCACAGATAGGCTCTCACTTCCACAATCAGCTATAGCTCTCACTATGCAGGTTATAGAGAGCGCAGTAAACGTGTACAAGAACGCTGCCAATGTCCTCCACAAATGCCATACTGTCCACCACCCAAGTGAAGGCTTTCATACGGGGACAATTTCATCCTAGATTTTCTGTTTTTCCTCTACCACTTACATCCCAGTGTTTCTTACTCTCTCCATTGGAGTGGAATTTGCATGACCCTGCCCACTGCCTCTCCCATAACCCTTTCCTATTCTTTTCTATGGCACACAGTAAACAGAGGAATTAATCAGCAACTGAACATACTAGAGAGGTTTGGGGAGAATTCACCATGATTTATAGGAGATGTAGGTACTGATATGTATAGTTCACCTGAAACCGAAGAGCATTCTGAACTCCACCAACAATGGACCTGTAACTAATTTAGCACACATAACCCCCATTACAAACAAAAAATACTGGAGGTCTTTGGAGGGATTCAGAGGAGCTGTAGTTGAAGGTACTGAGAGTTATAGTTCCCCTGCAATCAACGAGTACTCTGAACTCCACCAACAATGGACCTGGAACCTACTTGGCACACAGAGCCCCATGACCACCAAAAAACACTGGAGGTCTTTGGGGAAAATTCACCTTGATACATTCTGCTTTTTGGCTTCATCAAGAACAGGTATTTTGTAAATAAAATGACTCTTACTTGCCCATGCAAGACTATCTCTAAATATTTTCCAACTGGGATTGTTGCTAAAGAAAACACAGTCTTCCTTGCACAACCAACTGGAAGGAATACAGCTAAGTTGAGCAGGAACAGGGAAGCCCAAGAGGTGGTGATGGTAATGGCTAATGTCACCACCACTTGCTGATCAGACAGCTAAAGCATTGTGACCTTGCAATGTTCCCCAGTGACTCAAAAAGGATGTAACACCCCATGAACATTTGTGTCTTTCATACCTCAGTGATGCTTGTGATCCCATGTTGGGACAAGAGCTTCTTGTACAGGTTCTCCGTCTGTTCTGCTGTTAAATCCGGCTCATCTTTCGTGAAGAGGCAAACCTCCGCCGTTGCAGGCTGAATATTATGAGGCAGGGGTCTGTAAGAAACAAAGCAGTGGCATTGAGAGAATGCACAGAGTGTTTTGACCTCAAATGCAAGGAGGGTTAAGTACAGTCACACTTTGCAAGTGACGCTGGATCCATTTTATAATGGGTCGACTGCCACAGTTTTCCTTGATTCTCTCCTGCCTCCACAACTAAGACCACTGTTTTTCTGACTAAAAAGAGGAGGAAAGGATGCTGCATCTTCTAGGAATGCCAGGAGTGGCAATTTGCACCATTTCTAGCACAATTTCAGCCAAAATACAAAACAAAAACAAACTATTTCCAAAAACCAGAAGAGACATTTGTATAGTTCTGGACTATTGTTTAGTGCAGCGGTTAAAACCGCTACTTGCAGGAAATCCGTTGACTGGAGGGTTAGCAGTTTGACGCCACGAGCCGGAGTGAGCTCCCTGCCGTCAGCCCTATCTACCTAGCAGTTCTATCTACCTAGCAGTTCGAAAACATGTAATGCGAGTAGATTAATAGGTACCACCTCAGTGGGAAGGATAAAGGGCTACCCATGCAGACAAAGAAAGTCTATGGCCAACTGGATACTCGGCATGGAACAAGAGCACCTCCCCATGGCCAGAGTTCAGCATTGCCTCCAGACGCTGGAGATGGAAATGGGAAGGCTTTACCTCTGTCTCTCTAAGTATTGTATGTCGTTGTTCACTGTGTTAAAAGGTACTGAATGTTTACCTTATACATATAAACTGTAATCTGCTCTTGGTCCCTCCGGGGAGATAAATAAAGTATATTATTATTGTCCTCGAAGGCATTTGGCACCAGCAGCAAACAGTGCTGCGGGGGCCATAGGGGGCTCCCACACTGATTTTTAGACTTACATTTTGATGACTTGCTCACGCAGTGGGATCTTCCAGACGGTAATCATTAAAAATAAACTCCGGTCCTCATTTAAAAGCAATTTCTCTGCCGTATTCTTCTTGTTCTTGCTATGTGCAAGCAATGCGAGAGCAGCCTTTTTAATCTGTAAAAGCAGATATGATTTTTGCTTGTCTAAATCTCTGTGAAATAGGAACATTTTCAATGTCACAGCAATATTGAGAGTCCCATTTGGTTGGGAAAGAACTTGGAAACCTTACTTTTTTTGGACTACAATTCCCAGAATTTTCGAGCTGGCACACCCAGTGCCCATGATGACTTGGGGACCCAGTAATTTATAACCAGAAATACTTTCCCAAGCTCTGAGAGTCATTTGCCCAATAATTTTCAATAGAATCCGAAAAATAGAAGAGACCCCAAAGGCCATCCAACTCAAGCTGATTCTGCCAGGCAGGACACAAACAAATGCCACCCAACAGATGGCCACCAAGCCATGCTTCAGGGGCTATGACCATAGAATGCCAGAGTTAGAAGAGATCCCAAGGGCAATCTAGTCCGACCTCATCCTGTCTGCAGTAAAGGCACAATCAAAGCATTTCCGACAGATGGCCACCTAGCCTCAGAATCATAGAATCCTAGAGTTGGAGGAGACCCCAAGGGCCATCCAGTCTGACCCCATTCTGCTTGCAGGAAAGGCATAATCAAAACCCTCTCGATAGATGGCCATCCTGCCTCTGAATCATAGAATCCTAGAGTTGGAAGAGACCTGAAGTGTCATCCAGTCCAATCCCATTCTGCTTGCAGGAAAGGCACGATCAAAACCCTCCCGACAGATGGCTATCCAGCCTCAGAATCATAGAATCCCTAGAGTTAGAAGAGACCCGAAGGGTCATTCAGTCCAACCCTATTATGCCTATAGAAAAGGCACAAAGTCTTCCCAAAGCCACCCAGCCTCTGAATCATAGAATCTTATTGGAGCCGGACGAGACCTCAAGGGGCATCAAGTCCGACCCCATTCTGCCTGCGGGAAAGGCACAATCAAAGCCCTCCCGACAGATGGCCACCCAGCCTCGGAATCATAGAATCCTAGAGTTGGAGGAGACCTCCAAGGACCATCCAGTCCGACCCCATTCTGCTTAATGGAAAGGCACAACCGATGGCCACCCAGCCTCAGAATCCGAGAGTGGGAAAAGGCACAAAGGGCCCATCCAGTCCAAAGCCATTCTATCTGCAGGAAAGGCACAATCTAAGCCCTCCCAACAGATGGCTACTCAGCCTCACCTGCTGGGGATCTGGCTGACGCGCCATGCCTGCCTGCCCGTGCCTCGTGCGCTGATGAGAGCGGAAGTCGCCCTCTAATGATGTCACCACGAGCGACCGCCTCTCTAGGGCTCCTCCCGGAAGAGGAGGCGGAAGCAGAGAGGTCTCCTTGGATGCTGGAGCGGAGTGGCCAAACGTCCAAAGGAAGAATCACACAGTGAAACAGGAGTAACACTTTCAAACCAGTACCAAACTTTCAAAGCACACTTTCTCACCTCAAAAGTTTTGGTCCCTCTTTAGTCTTATGCTTAGGCCCGCATCCGGACTGCCATATAATGCAGTTTAAAGACATTGAAGTCTACACTAATGTGGTTTAATGCTGCTAAAATGCATTAAATGGCATTGCCGATTGGGCCTTAGTCGAAAGAATGGTTTTCTCCTGCTTGGTTTTAAGATCTGGCTGTTATCCATCCTCCTTCAGGATAAAATTCAAAGCCTCAAAATTCAACAGGCCTTCAAAAACAAAAGCCATTAGTAAGGGTTTTAAAATTTGAAATGCTAACACTATTTATTTTGGGTTAAACCACTGAACTGCTAAACTTGTTGACCGAAAGGTCGCAGGTTCGAATCCAGGGAGTGGTGTGAGTTTCCCCTGTGAGCCCCAGCTTCTGCCAACCTAACAGTTCGAAAACATGCAAATGTGAGTAGATCAGTAGGTACCGCTCTGGCGGGAAGGTAACGGCACTCCTTGCAGTTATGGCCACCTGACCTTGGAGGTTTCTACGGACAACACCAGCTCTTCGGCTTAGAAATGGAGATGAGCACCAACTCCCAGAGTCAGACATGGCTGGACTTAATTTCAGGGGAGAACCTTTACCTTTACATTTAATACCTTTATTTACATATACTCCTTTTATATCCCCTTCCGGTTCTGATTGCTTTAATCAAATCCTAGACTGCCATTAAAACCACCCAAAGAGGACAGTCCAATCTAGTACCTTGCTGTATGTTACATTTGTTTAGGCTGCATTTACATTGTAGAATTAATGCAGTTCAGCACAACTGCTCTACCTAAGTGCTATGAAATCATTATTTTTATATTATTATTATTATTATTATTATTATTATTATATATTAATATAATACTAAATCTCTGAAGCTTTAGATACTCTTACTACCTATTACAGGGCAAACCAGCTGATTGCTAATCAATCTAAAATGCAGACATGTGCTTTTCATTTTAAGAACAGACGAGCATCTTGAGCTCTGGGGACTAATTGGGAAGGAATCCCACCTGAGCATTGCAGCACATCAAAATACCTGGGTGTTACTCTGAACCATGCTTTGATTTACAAGAAGCACTACTTGACTATCAAGCAAAAAGTGGCTGCTAGAAATAATATCATATGAAACCTGATTGGCACAACGTGAGGATCACAACCAGACACAGTGAAGACATCTGCCCTTGCACTTTGCTACTCTGCTGCTGAGTACACATGCCCAATGTGAAATACATGTCACCACGTTAAAACAGTGGATGTGGCTCCTGAAGACATGCCACATTATCACAGGATGTTTACATCCCACACTACTAGAGAAATTATACTGTTAGCTGGTATTGCACCACCTGACATCTGTCAGGAAGTAGCAGCCTGTAATGAAAGGACCAAGGCACGGACATCTCCGGCCCATCCTCTGTTCGGATATCAGCCAGTACGCCAGCACCGTGTATCAATAGCTTCCTAAGATCTACTGAGGAACACCTCAACAAGCAAGAGCAAACCGCATTCCACTTACTACAATGCAGCCTGAGTGCTGCCACACACACAGTGGAGGACCTTCTTACAGCCACACCAGCGTGGCTGTAAGTGGCCAGTTCTGGTCAAAGACATCTGTTTGTGTTTTTAAATACATTACAACCGGTCCCTCAATTGGCTTATGACACAATATATCAAATAAATTGTTGTTGTTGTTATTATTAACTATTTCTATCCCACTTTTTCCCCATAGGGAATCATGGGAGTTTTAGTTTGGTGAGGCACCAGCAGTCTTTGGCAGGGAAGGCTATAAAGACCTTATAAAACTACAACTCTGGTGAAATGTAACATTTGTTCTGCAAAGAACCTAAAATCATCAGTAGGTGATAGTAAAGAGGATCAGGATCAACAGTGAGACCCCGTCTGCATTACCATATTCAGGCCCAAGCCCCCAAATTACAAACAAGAGAGGTTCTGTAGGTTTGTTCTTAAATTGAATTTGTATGTAAGTTGGAACAGGAACATTTTTTTAGTGTTAACTCCATATATATATATATATATATATATACATGCATGCATGCATGCATGCATGATTTGGATAGCATAGGGAAGGGTGAACACTCTTGTGGTGTTTGTGTTGCCGTCTGTGCCCAGATTTCACATTTCCTGTCCTTGTGAGAATTGGATTTTGAAAAAAACTTGGCTTGTTGTGGAAAAACAAGGATTGGAGAAAAGCTTCCTTCCAAGGGGGAAGATTTCTCTTGCTTCTTGTTGTCTGATCCCCGTTCCTAACTACGAGTCGTTTGCAAGTTGGATATTTGTAATTCAGGGATGGCCTGTAATCCAGTTTCTGAATCCAGATGATCTGCTTTGAGTTGGGACTATATGGCAATATAAAGTCATATAATCAAGTGCAAAGCAGATCATCTGGGTTCAGAAACTGGATTATATGGCAATGTAGATCCAGCCTGAGAGGGTTGGGAGACACTCCTCATCTCAAAACAAAGGAAGAAAATTAGCAGAATCCTCGAGTGAATCAACACATCAAGACTGAAGTTGAATCTGTGAATGTAGAGATGAAAAAGGTGGCATCGACTGGGCTGCAGGTTCAGTGGTCAGATATCCGACAGGACCAGCATCTTGAAGTTGAAAGGAAGCTGCGAGAGGTTTGGTTTCCAATCAACCCTGAGAAAACAACTCCCTTTTATACATTTCCCAATGACAAAAGGCAAATTTGGACATGTCTTTTAACAGAGCTGGGTTCTCTTCACAGATAGGATATTTTAATTAGAGCCATAGACTTGAAGAGGGCCATCCAGTCCCGCTTTCTGCCATGAATACAGATATCAAAGCCCTCCTGACAGATGGCCATCCAGCCTGTTTAAAAACTTCCAGAGAAGGAGACTCCACCTTGAACAGCTTTGACCCTTGGGAAGTTCTTCCTAATGTTTTGGCAGAATCTCTTTTCCTGCCCTTTGAATCCCTGGCTCCACAGAAATTTCTACAAGTCTGTTTGTTCCTTCCTCCTCAATGGGACCTCCTTTCAAATACTTACATATGGCTCTCTCCTCCTCCTTTTCTCCAGGCTAAATATACCCAGTTCCCTCTGCCATTCCCTTACATTAGTGTATTATAAAAGAAAATCTGAATTGTGATCTTTTCTGAAAAATCACTTTGTAATTCCCAGAAAAATAAAAGGCAGAAATATGCAGACATAATAAAATTTATTTAATGTTTTCATGCATTATTGTAGCTACAAGTATAGTCATATGAAACTGAAGGACAATCAATTTTGCTTTGTCCATACAATGTAGCCTTATGTAAAATGGATGGGAGTTCCATGATTACAAATAAACAACAAGGGGGAAAACATTTCAGATTTATAGTAGAATAAATGGAACAGTTCCATGACTGTAGACTTTGGGGAATGGGCACATTATTACACTTTGAACATACAAAGGTAAAAAGGTATAATCGAAGAAGCATCTTGGACCTTGGAAACCAGCCTTCTATAGGAACCTAATAGTGGAGATTGCCATTAAACACATGAGCATCATTGCACATCACTCAATTTCTGCTTTCTCCCCAGTTTTACAATGGCACAGATCCCATGCTCAGCCTACACACAGATATATGAATTTAGTACCCCGTTCTTTTTAATTGCCAGCCACAAGTTCTATAATTCACTTTTGCTTTGGGCTGCTGTGAGTTTTCCGGGCTGTATGGCCATGTTCCAGAAGCATTCTCTCCTAATGTTTTGCCCACATCTATGGCAGGTATCATCAGAGGTTGTGAGGTCTGCTGGAAACTAGGCAAGTGAGGTTTATATTTCTGTGGAATAATGCCCAGGGTGGGAGAAAGAACTCTTGTGTGCTTGAAGCTAGTGTGAATGTTACAATTGGCCAGCTTGAATAGAACTGAATAGCCTTACAGCCTCAAAGCCTGGCTGCTTTCTGTCTGGGGGAATCCTTTGTTGGGAGGTGTTAGCTGGCCCTGATTTGAGAATACAGACATGCTGGACCACTCTAACAACCACCATGTCAGAATACACAGAGAGCCATTGAAATCCACAAGCATGTGGACAATTTCAACAGAGAGGAAACCATGAAGATAAACATAACCTGGCTACTAGAATTTAAAAACTTCAAAATCAGGACAGTAAATAAAGAACATCACTCAGAAGGCAGGGGAATTCCAAACAAGAAACAATCAGGGACAGCTAACACCTCCCAACAAAGGATTCCCCAGGCAGGAAGGAGCCAGGCTTTGAAGCTGCAAGGCTATTAAATGCTAATCAAGCTGGCCAATTGCAACATTCACACTAGCCTCAAGCACACAAGAGTTCTTTCTTCCACCCTGGACATCATTCCACAGAAATATAAACCTCACTTGCCAAGTTTCCAACAGACCTGACAACCTCTAAGGATGCTTGCCATAGATATGGACAAAAAGTCAGGCGAGAATGCTTCTGGAACATGACCAGACAGCCAGGAAAACTCACAGCAATCCAATGATTCCAGCCACGAAAGCCTGGAAGACACTTTGGCTTTCCTTTAGTTCAGACTCTGATGTGCAGAAACGTATAGCCTGTGGTTGATATTCATCTCAATTGCAATGAGCAAACCTTTACTATTAAACTGCATCAATCCAGTGAGATTACATCAAGTTTCTGCCAGTTAAATACCAACTACTCATGGAAGGCCTATCAGGCTCAATTCAGATCTCTTAAAGAAAAATGAACACAGATTCTCCAGTCTTTCAAATTAGACAGAATGAAGAAAGTAACTTTGATCATCAACTGATAATTGAAACCCAGTTGGAATTGAATATTGTATTCCAGTATTATTGCACAAGTTGCCACATAACAGTCCCAGTAAGTTTGTTGGCCAGTATAGACGGAGAGAAAAAACAAACAAACACTAATTAAATAGTACCATATTTGCATTAGCATATTAAGATTTTTTTTTTTAAAAAACAAATGTTAAGAAACGGAAGGAGAGTTGATTGAGTACAAATTTTGTCAGTGATCTAATTGCTTTATTTAAAACTTGCCTTTGGAGACAGCAAAGTAGAGAGCTGGGTTTTAGAAAAGTCTTAATGGAATGGAGTATTCAGATTACTTGGCAAGCTTAAAAGCTAATCCAACAGCTGTTACATCTGGATAAAAAAAAATATTCAACAGCAATTAAGATACCAAAACATTTGAAATTTGAATAGTTTATTAACAAGGTAATTGTCTTTTATAACATGAGCACGCACACTCACACACTGAATGATCTGTCTTGAAAAATCTTTTCGATATATGGGGGGAGGAGAATTAAACATAAATTCTATCAGGTTTTTTTATTCATAATTCTAGGCAAATATGTCCACATCACTTATAAAGCTATTGCCAAATCTTCCAAGGAAACAGAATTTAGGAAGGGGGTGGGGAGCCTTAGAGGGGAATTCAATAGTGGCATAGCAGAGCTCTCAATATGAGAAAGCTGACACAAATGTGGACCTTTGCTATGAAAAGTTAAATCTTTGCAAAACACAGGGAGAAAGTTATAAATGTGAAGAAAATAAGAAGGCGATGTGAAGTAGGCTTCTGCAGAGTCATTTTGTTTTGTTTGTTTTCCTCACAGTATTGGAGCAGGCTTTGTCAAAACAACGCTTAGTCCTTCTCTGGAACCAATTTCAGAACTTTCCCAATTGCAATGGTTTTACCTACAGAAAATACCAAAAAAAGGCAATTAGTAAATGAAGTTTGCCACCTTCGAGGGTTAGCAAAATATCTAAGTATTCCTGGAAAAGATACATCCATATCTACATAAGATAGGTAAGATGTAATACAAAAAGCGTGATGGAGCTATGTCTTGCAGGCCCCCTCCCTCCCACAATTTTTATCTACACAGATAGGCAAACATTTGGTGCCTTTAATACAGTGGAATAACAATGATACATAAATGCACAGAACAAAGGTAAAGGCTTCCCCTTTGATCTCTGGCTTCTGGAGGCGGTGCTGAACTCTGGCTATGGGGAGGTGCTCTTATTCCATTTCCAAGCAAAGGAGCCTGTTGTCCATAGGCACCTCCTGGTCATGTTGCCGGCATGGCTGCATGGGTGCCTGTATTACCTTCCCGCTGAAGCGGTACCTATTGATCTACTCACATTTGCATGCTTTCGAACTACTAGGTTGGCAGGAGCTAAGGCTAACAGCATGAGCTCACCCCAACGTGCAGCTTCAAACTGCCAAACCTTAGGTCAGCAGATTCTACAGTTCAACAGTTTAACCCACTGGGTAGAGAGTCTTTACCAGACCTAGAGTCAATTTGCTCACCTCCTTAAATTATTTGGAATTAATTTGGGAGGCTAAAATGCCCCAAGAAGTAAGACAGGCATCAGGCCAAGAGGACTGGCATTATCTGGATATTTTCTGATTGTGAATTGAAATTAATGCTATTTGACGGTTATGGTAACAGAATCTGAGATCTCACATTCTTTATTTTTTCTTGGCTGTGATTCCTAAACCAAAGTGTTGTTGAAGCCATTGTTTGATCTCTATGGGTTTTTTTTTCCATGTCAGGAATGACTTGAGAAACTTCAAGTCGTTTCTGGTGTGAGACAATTGGCCGTCTGTAAGGACATTGCCCAGGAGATGCCCAGATGTTTTTGATGTTTTACCATCCTTGTGGGAGGTTTCTCTCATATGCTCACATGGGGAGCTGGAGCTGACAGAGTGAGTTCAATCCGCTTTTCCCAGATTCAAACCTCTGTCCTGTCGGTCATCACTCCTGCCGGCACATGGGTTTAACCCACTGCGCCACCGGGGACTCCTGATCCCTAAGTGACAGTGGTGAAAAAATGGCTCTGGGCAAATGACGAGTTCTCAGGACATTCCTAATATTACAATTAAGCAAATCGTTTTGGAAGAGTCACTGTACATCAAGACGAATTCAACCCTATACACAATGCTAATACATGCACCTCGTTCATAAGTGCGGCAACTGCTTTTCAGGTGTTCTTACCCTCGTCTCTTAAGGTGAAGCGACCCATTTGTGGGAAGTCTTTAAATGTTTCAAGACATATCGTTCCGGCTGTTCTTAGACGCGCAATGCAGACTTGATCTTGTTTGACAAAACGGGGCCGGGTTTTGCTCTTCTCTCCTGATTTTTTGTCTACCAAGCAGATTAAGGCCTGCAGAGGGGAGCGAGAAATGTCATGCAATGAGTGCCAATGTTGTGAAGCAGTTAAGATTCTTTGGGGATGTAGTGAATGTCAGGAGGCAACCCCATACCTCCTGACATTCAGGAAGAAAGTAAAAACATGGTTATGTGACCAAGCTTTCAGACAGCAAAGCTCGTAGTGCAATAAAATAATAAGGAATAGTGAACGGACGAATGGAACAACTACGGACTTAATTTTGGATGGCATGATTTTAATAACTGTTTTTAAATCATATTGTTTATCGGTGGGTTTTAATATACATGTTAAATTTTTAATGCCTTCCTAGCGATCCCCTGCCATCGTTGCTGTGGCCCATTCTGTGTATATGTGTTTTGTGTGTGTATTTGTGTGTAGGTATATCTGTGTATACATGTGTGTTTGCCTATATATGTGGTTTTGCACATGCGTTGTGATGTGTGTGTGTGTGTGTGTTTAATGGCCTTTTAAGCCTTTTCTGCTGTGTTTTTCAGTGTTTTTATGAGTGATGGTCACTCATTGGCCTGATAGGTGTATTGTGTCCAAATTTGGTGTCAATTTGTCCAGTGGTTTTTGAGTTATGTTAATCCCACAAACCAACATTACATTTTTATTTATATAGATGTCTAAATGTTCTTTTATGTTTATGTTTTAATTTGGTTAGGTTACTTTATAAGTTATATGTTATTGTCTTGTGATTATCTTTTGGTTTTCACATGTATGTACGGCATTGAATTTTGCTTTTATAATGTTGGAAACCATTTTGAGTTCCCTTAGGGGGAGAAAAGCAGTATATAAATGTAGTAAATAATAAATAAATAAATATTGCAGACAGAGACCTGGTTCAAATCCACAATCATCCATGAAACTCCTATGGGGACTTTCTGTGTTTTGCAACCTGACTGACGTCACAGAACTTTTGTGAGAAAAATGTTGAGGAGGCTATAAAATTAACTCTAATGACACCCAACAAAGCCAGGTGGAATTCTATATCCCCTTCACAAGTAGTTTTAACCTTTGCGGTTTAATTTATCAGATGTTTTCTATGTTCTCGCTGGCACAGTGATTGGTTTTTTAAAAAACAAATTACATATGCAATTCAAGTCCCCTTTTAAAAATTAAGCCATTTGACATGCCACTGAATACATCTAACAATAGTGAAGTTAATGACTATGGACAGCAAAACATGGGATGAAGAATTCACCTGTCTCAGCACCCTCTCACGAAACTTTTACAACGATGGAATACCTTTTTTTTCTTCCAAAATGATTTGGAAGAATGTATGTTTGTATGTTATTCAAATATACAAACAAGAAAAACCATAGTGATCAAATACATGAAATTAAAACTACCATAAAAACATTTTTCATTATATGCAAAACTAGCTAACCTTTATCTACCACATGCAACCTATACACATTCTAAATCAACACCTACTAAACCCTCTAAAAGCCTCCTGCTTGTTGCCTGTTGATTCTAACTTCTTATTTGTTGGTCCCTTTAAGTATCACTTTATTTCTACCTTTCTACTTTGAATAACTCTTCTATATCAGGAAGCCAATGAAACACTTTCATACAAGTGGATGAGAGAGCCTTTGTACTTACTGTGATCTCAACTTCTTCAATACATGTATGAATATGCAGCACCGCATTGTAACCTGGACAGATGATGGATTTGTGTTCAATGATCACTATCTAAAATCAGTAAGAACAGAGTAAGTCCATAGGGATGCTCTTCGGCAGCACATAAACACCCAAAAGGAAGGTTAAGGACCAAAAAAGGAGGCAAAATGCTTTTCCCCGCCTCTGCCTTAAAATGTGTCGCCCCTGAAAGTTCTATTGGCCAAAGTGTCATCCCATTTTAGTGTCCGCATTGTAAGTAAAACACGAGATATTTACTACAAGTACCTGAGCGTCAAAGGTGCGTCCCGAATGACACAGGTTATTAATATCGCAGAGTATAAATCCCGGGAGGATCTCCTCTTCTTCAATTCCTTTCAGTCGGATCTTCAGGTTTTCACCGGGAGCGACAGCATCTGTTTCTACGTCATCAGAAAGGATGCCAAGGACTTCCACATTGTGCTGAAGGAAAAATGCAGGACTTTTATGACACGGAGCATTCACTTATAAGACTTCACTTATGCTGTAAAACAATTTACATTCAGAGACATGCAGAGGTTTGGAAACCAAGTCCTATGAGGAATGGCTGAGGGAGGTGGTCATATTTAGCCTGGAGAAAAAAAAGGGCTGAGAAGAGAATATAGACTCATAGAGTTGGAAGAGACCTCGTGGGCCATCCAGTCCAATCCCCTGCCAAGAAGCAGGAAAATTGCATTCAAAGCACCCCCGACAGATGGCCATCCAACCTCTATTTAAAAACCTCCAAAGAAGGGGCCTCCACCACACCACAGCAGAGAGTTCCACTGCTGAACCACTCTCTCTCACCGTTAGGAAGTTCTTCCTAATGTTCAAGTGGAAGAAGGGGACATGAGAGCCCTGTTTAAATACTGGAAAGGAAGTCATATTGAGGAGGAAGGGGCAAAGCTTGTTTGCTACTGCTCTAGAGCCTAGGACACAATGGAGCCATAGATTCAAATGGCAGGAAAAAAGATTCCACTCAAACATTAGGAAAGACTTCCTGACAGAGCAGATTTTGCAATGGAATATGGTACAGCCTCTGAGTCTGGTGGAGGCTCTTTCTCTGGAGGTTTTTAAGCCGAGGCTGTATGGCCATCTGTTGGGGGTGCTTTGATTGTGGATAAACCTTTGGAAACAGAGGCCACATTAGTTCCTCTGAGGAAATTTTAGAAATATATTTGGGGCTGTATTCCCAAACCCTGGGGACAAAAACACAGGCCAAAAGAGTGTCTTTTATCCAATATTCAAGTCCCAAACATCCCTTGTAAGATTTACACTTGCACCTGGGTAGATGGAAGCAGATTTCCTTTTCCAGCCTGTAGAAATGCTATACAAGACCTTGCTTTGATATGGGGATATTTCTCCACATCAGGCACAGGAATCTTCTCTGAGCAGAACATTCTTATGCTCAGTCAAGGCAGATCTAACCCTCCATTTCAAAGCCCTCCACTCCTCCCATCGTTTCATCATGGGACCTCCAATTATGCAATAGGGTAAGGCACACTTCCATACTATCATATAGCTTTGGAAGAGATGAAAAATCCTACTTTTAAAATTGTGTTTGTTCATTGATTTAAATCTGGAGCGTACAGTCATTGTAGAAAAGGTCATGAAACTCTTCTACAATGTGTCGGCTTTAGCACAGCAGGTTAATTATCAGCTGCAGTCACAGTAAATCTTGCCAACCGAAAGGTTGACAGTTCGAAGCCAGGTCAGGGTGAGCTCCTGACCTTCAGACCCGCTCCCTGCCCACCTAGTGGATCAAAAACAGCAATGTGAGTAGATGAATAGGAACCACATTAAGCGGGGAGGTATTTTAGACACAGCGTTTCGGAAGAAAATTTACGAACAAAGAAAGCTCTTCGGCAAGGAGGTGGAGTGACAGCACTATCCTGTGGCCAGAACCAAGCACAGCCTCCAAAGATGCCGAATGATGAGAAAAAGCCTATATATACCTCTATTTCTTATCATTGTATAATCGGCATTGAATGTTTGCCGTATATAGACTACTGCGCACTGCACTTACCCTATAATCCTTACATATCACCTGTCACATCAGCACTTTTAATTCTGTACCCATTACTCTGGCCCGGCCCAGTTTTATTGTGTCTTGGTGTATTGTTTATTGCTTGTTGTTTTTAATATTGCTTTAATTGTTTTTAATTTGCTTTAGGTTTTGTATTGTTATGTTGTGTTTTGAGGTCTTGGCCTTTGTAAGCCGCATTGAGTCCTTCGGGAGATGCTAGCGTGGTACAAATAAAGATGATGATAATAATAATAATAATAATATGTGTTTTGTTATCCGCCCTGAGTCCCCTTCGGGGTGAGAAGGGCAGAATATAGGTACTGTAAATAAATAAATAAACCATGAAACTGGAGACCCAATGAGAATAGGACAGAAAAAAGAACCACAAACAGGGTCTAAATGGGTGAGAAAACATTTAAGCTGAAAAGGACTTTCTGCCTGCGAAAATAACACCAATTTTGCAGCTAGCCAGTAAAAATGTTTCTTTGATTTGCAAGTCTGGCCAACAACTAACACCATACTTTTTAAAAAAAGGAGATAACTGCTCTGTTCCTGATACAAGTTAATTCTCTTATGTTCCAAGCTGCTCGAGCTTATATTCTTTTTATATTAATATAAAGACTATTGTGGGGATATCCATACAAACCTGAGTTCTGTTTGGCGTCATGTTATACACTGAACCCAGAAAATGAATGGAAGAAAGTGAAAGTTCATTTGTATCCACCAGTAAACCAATCAAACTGATGCTACTTGTTCTCCGAGAAGTGATGTACGCTCCTCAGGAGAACTGGAATGTAGCCTCTATGTTCCTAAGAAGACCCATTTTCTTTCTCCTAATAAGTTCATGGCTGCCAGTGACACTTTAGGGAGAAAAAAAGGGATTTTCTCAGTGTGAAGGCAAAGGCTTTCTGCCCACTGACATTACAGTACTAACACCAAAGTGTAAATCCCTGGCATCTCTTTAGTTATTATTAAAAAGGAGTGGTAAAAATCTCAGCAGCTCTTCTGAGCAAAACGAGGCTGTCTATATGTCTATTTCTGTGCACCAATGTCTTAACATCTTCAAAGTACAAAAAAGCAGCTTGATTATCAAAGGGCTTTCCAAACCAAGAGTTACTTTTTTTTTTTTTTGTCGTGTCAGGAGTGACTTGAGAAACTGCAAGTCGCTTCTGGTGTGAGAAAAACGCCCGGATGATTTGATGTTTTTATCATCCTTGTGGGAGGCTTCTCTCATGTCCCCGCAATTGGGAGCTGGAGCTGATAGAGGGAGCTCATCCACCGCTCTCCGGATTTGAACCTGCGACCTGTCGGTCTTCAGTCCTGCTGGCACAGGGGTTTAACCCACTGCGCCACCAGGGGCTCCAAGAGTTACTTTACAGGCTCAAAAGCAAAGAGGAACACTTCTTAAAAGGAAAACATACCGTACCTTATTTGGCATCATCACCAGTTGCTGTCCTTTGCAAATAGAGCCCGATTCCAGCTTTCCCAGAACCACCGTGCCCATGTCCTTTGTATGAAGAAACACACAGTTTAAAATACAGACAAGTTTGACACATAATAATCCAATGCCCTGCAGCATCCCTCTGACTCTCTCTTTAAAACCTTCTTTTTTAGGGCAATAGGGTAAGGCACACTTCCGTTCTATCAAGGTGGCCGTGAAGAGTGTACCTTATATTTATCCACAATTGGAAGCCTTATTGGTCCATCAACGGATCTGTTGAAGTTTGGCAAGTTATCCAGATAGGGAATAAACGGGAGTCCACTGAAAGAAAGGGAAGGGGGATTACATTGGCATAAAAGTCTATAGTGCATCTTGCCTTGTTTAGAGACACAACTTCCATCTGCAATGATGCCAGAAAACTGCTAACGTTTCTTTAGTTTGATAACTACAGGTGCTTCACACCTGGAAAATTATATTAAAACACAGTAAAAACAAGTTTGTATCTCAAATGGTACAGTTCTGCTAATGCAAAGCTTCACCGCTTGGGAAAACTTTGTTTTTATCCTCACATCAAGCTCAATATTTTGAGCCTGCTTACACAAACTCTTACAAAAACCCATTACAACTTCATTATAGCAGACTAAGGAAAAGGGAAGTGCACCCTAGATGTGATGGTTAGCGCTTTCATCCAGTCATTTTAGGCTCCTATTTTTTATTGTTTTTCTTGCTGCAAACTTTCAATTACTGTTTAAATTTTATATGTGATTTTACTGGATTGTATGTTGTGCGTCATACAGAAAAGTTGGATATATAAAACCCAATACGTACGTATACCAAGGACAGAAGTCGGACTGCTCCTTTAGGTTTGCTCCAGTTAGCCCCGAGCAGGGCATGAAGTGGATGTCCTTTTTGGGATTGAAGCCCACTTTTTTCAAAAATGGCACAAGTTTCTCTTTGCACTCTTCATATCTGAAACATTTCCCAAAAAAAGAAAGGAAGAACGCTGTAATAAATTACTATGATCAGACAAATATAGAGAATAATTCTTGACCAACTGGCAAGTGTGGAAAATAAAAATGGAAGGAGGCAGAGACGGTGTAGATAAAGCTGTTTAGAATTGTAGCCTTCCTGCCTTGATCAGATAGCAGAAGGGTCTCACTTAGAGTTGTAGATTGCTCCTTTAGCTTTCCTCAGAACGAGAACACCATTCCTAATGGAAAAGGCATCAACAATACTGAAAAACCCCAAACCAGGGAGTCAACATCTAACTTTAAAAAGTTGTCCGAAGTACTCACCTCTCATTGCTCCAGTTCACAGTTGGGTCATCCATTTTATTAATAAGGACTATTAAATGTTTGACTCCTGCTGTTTTTGCTAACATGGCGTGCTCTCTTGTTTGCCCTCCTTTCTCAAAGCCAGTTTCAAATTCTCCTTTTCTTGCAGATATAACCTAGTTTGAAAGGAAACCAAATCAGTCAGACCCTGAGCTACAGTATAATTCCTTGACCTTCTCATATCACATGAACAGCTGGTAAATAACTCAATAATAATGTGGTCAGTAAGAAGGACTGAATTTCCACAAATGAACAATTTGAAATACCCGAAAGATCCCATTTTATGAACCCAGCTGCTACTTATCTGCCAACTAATTCTTCCATATAGGCACGTAAAGCAAAAGAGCTGTTCAAAACTAGCTCCAAAAACTGTATAGCACTTTTGATTCAGCACACCTTTCTGTGCATTACTGACACATTTGAAGTGATACTTTTAACATAAGGGAATGAATGACCCCTTCCTTACCAACACAGCTAGATCAGCTTGAGAAGCTCCACCAATCATATTTGGAACGAAGCTCTTGTGACCTGGAGCATCTAAAATAGTGAAGTGTTTCTTCTCCGTTTCAAAATAGGCTCGGCCCACTTCCACTGTTTTACCTTTGTCCCGTTCTTCCTGATTTGTGTCTAAGGCCCACGAGAGATACCTACCCACAAAACAAAGCAGCAAAATTACATGACCATCTCTAAATGAATACTTTTCATAGCACACATACACAGTACATATTCTCAGCAAACCTAAACTAGGCTTCATTGAGACACCTGTATCATGGCTGTATTCTGGCATGCAAATGAAAACACAGGAACAGTTCTGAAAAGTCCTGTTTGTATGCTTGCTGCTACGTGGTGCAGCTAGCAGATATCCAGCTGCATTAAATCACTACTGACCAAGATGTCATGAGTTTGAAGCCAGCCCTAGTCGGGGTGAGCTTCCAACCATTAGTCTAGCTTGCTGTCATCCTTTGCCGCCCGAAAGACATTTGCATCTGTCAAGTAGGAATTCAGGTACCGCTTTATGCGGAGAAGGGAAATTTAACTAATTTACGACACCATAAAATCTTCCAGCAGCATGCAGAAGAATGAAGAAGTACTCCATCAAAGGACTTGGTGTCACAAATGAATGATGCAGCAGCAGCTCCCGCTGTGGCCCAAATTGAGCATACCCTCATGAAAGCCAGAAAGCTGGAATGTTAAATTGCCTCTGTGTCTGTCTATATATGTTGTATGTCTAATCAGCATTGAATGTTTGCCATGTATATGTGCATTGTAATATGCCCTGAGTCCCCTGTGAGGTGAGAAAGGCAGAATATAAATACTGCAAATAAATAAATAAATATGTCCATCAAGCCGACCTTAAGCCAGAACTTACATTCCCCACGCCGCCATCTCTATCTGAATCACTATTAGCAAATGTGTTATCAATGAGGAAAAAGGAATTCATTGAAATATCGGTCCCACATAATTTGTAGATTGTTCATCTAAAGGCACAAGTGTCATACCAAGTTTCTCTGTTTTTTTCTTTAGCTTCTCTCTCGTATTTTTCCAGCGTTCGTTTATCAACCATGCCAGTCAAGTACCTAGAAATGGATAAGTCACAGCTTTCATTAGTTATAATGAAGAGAGTTTTTTCTTTCTATTTTTTCTTTCATTGATACTTGTATCTGTGTTAATGCCTTTTTAATGTATTTATAGTTTTCCACAAAACAGAAAAAAATGAATTATACTTTCTTGTAACAACTGCAACTTGTAACAACCTTTACTAGAAGCTAAAAGTGACATAAGACAAACAGGGAAAAGCCAGGCAATTGCTTTATTAAATGTATACTTATAAGCAATTATGTATTTGTACAGATATAATAAATAATTGAAAGAATAAAAGAGCTTTAAAAAGTTGCTTACATTATTTGTCCTCCAATTGTTGATTTGCCAGCATCTAACAAAAAAAATTACGAAGAGCAATTTAAAGACGACAGATTTTCAAAGCATGTCCAAGTGACTTAACTCATAGTATTTAACTATTTGAATTCACCATGATAATGTCCTTTCTCTGCCATTTTTCTTGGTGTGATAAAGGAAGGAACAGAGGAGCTAGAACAGGCATGGGCAAACTTCGGCCCTCCAGGTGTTTTGGACTTCAACCCCCACAATTCTTAATAGCCAAAGTTTGCCCATATCTGAGTTAGACACACCTGCATCACTCTTGAGCGACATCTGCTCTGAACCCTTGCTTTTCCCCCTCAACCCTGACATAGCAGCAGAAATGCTACATAATGCATTTCTATATAGCTGGTTTACTGCAAGCATTGAGAGCAGGAGGCTGTCATATTACAACAATCTTGTCACCTGCTTTGGGGGCTGTTCTTACTAAACGATGGGGTGCAAGTATTTTAAATAAATCCATGGAACGAGCCGTCTTCCACAGAAACACTAAAAAAACATCCACTAGAAATATTACCTCTGCAATTCTTTGTGCAAACATGACAAGTATCTGGACATAACAGCAACCAAAACCAGCATTTTCAATACTGACATTTTAGTCACATAATTGTGTATAATGTCTTGATTCTTGGCTCTCAGAGATAAAAGATATGGATAAATTAACCTTCTTTCTGAGTAAAAGTACAGGAAGACCAACGAAACAAACAGACTGGACAGTGTTTGAAGAATATAGAGAAAATAAATAAGAATTCAAAGATAATTAAGAAAAGAAGTAAGAGAGAAAACAGCTTCTGAAAGAGAGGTGGATATAAGGAAAAACTACCTAGACAAGTAAATGGGAGAAAAATAGTTAAAGACCATGTGCTGCCTAGAATAAGAATGGAAGCCAAACCATATTCTATTTTTTTATATATATATATTTTTCTTCTTCTTTTCCTTCTCCACCAGGACTCTGTCATATTTTCGTTGTTCACATTTTGGTTATTGGAATCCCCCCTCCCCTTCCTCTCTTTTTCCCACTTCCCCTTACCGTTATTGAGCTTGCGTTAAAAACACTGCATTTGAAAAAAAATTAATATACATATTATATATATAAAAGAAATGTCTTGATACATAGGTCTTTGGAAGTGCTAAAAGTAGTACATGAATACTTTTGGTGCCTTAATGTTTAAAAGGTGAAATATGAAAGACATGTATTCTACCGAGGTACGGTATTTCAAGCTACCAGTGAAAGGAGAAGTGGAAACCAAAGTGGGACAATACTTCAAGTTAAAGATGGCTTCCTCAGATTTTGAATAATTGATACTGAAATAGATCAAGGCAGACAATCTTGTTGCTTTCCAGATATTTTGAATTTCAGCCTGAATCAGCTTCAAGCCTGAAGACTGGTGCTCAAAATTTTAAAGGCACTCAAGCAGACAGGCCAGAGAGTCCCACAACACTATGTAATAAAATTTGAAAAAAAATCTGTTCCTGGTTTAAAAATATGATTCTTGTTTCATTGTGTGGTACTGACTTTGAAAGTAGTTTGTCTACTCCAGAAACTTTGTTTTTATGTCTGCCACAATCTATGTTGAATTGGTTGAGACTCGATAGTCATGGAAAAATGATAGCAAGATGTGCTATAGCAGAATGTTCCTTCCACAAAAACAAAGATTTTGCAATTTAATAATTTTTTCCATGTTTTTATTATTGAACAATTAGGAAATGACATTTATAACCCAGGAACAAAAATCGTGTTACAGATTGCATTCTGCCTCATACTGATAGAAGGGGCTTCCCATAATACAAATTCCTACTCAATCAAATAATAATAATAATAATAATAATAATAATAATAATAATAATAAATATTTTATTTGCTACCCGCTTCTTCCAATGCCTTGAGGCAGGGTGCAACAAAGCCAAAACATATTTATTTATAGCATTTATATTCCACCTTTCTCACTCTGAAGGGGACTCAAGGCAGATCACAGAACACATACGTGGTAAACATTCAATGCCATTGAAATGACAGGACAGACAACAGATAGAGGTATTTTGCCGGCATTTTTCCCAGCTTCAGCATCCTGGAGGTTGTGCTCAATTCTGACCAGAGAGGGGTGCTGTCGTTCCATCCTCTATAATGAAGAGCCTTGATCATAGACTTTCTCCTTCCTTTGGATTGCCCACATTTTCTGTATTTCTTTTATGGTGCCATAAAACACCTCCCTGCTTAAGCTGTGCCTAATTTCTCACAGCTCACAGCTGTTTTCAAACTGCTTATCAGGACAGTAAGCTGGGCTGAAGGTCGGATGCTCACCCCAATCCAGGCTTCAAACTGCCAACTTTTTGATTGGTAAGATGTATTGCTGCTGGTGATTAACCAGCTGTGTATTTTATATTTTATCAACATAAAATATAAAATACATGCAATATCACACATATCAAAACACACCATTTAAATACAATTATAGTGGCAATAGAATGCAATCCAAAACTCATGATAATAATGATACTACACACCTATTCTACTGAGGGAGATTTTATACATCTAAAGAATTGGATGACAGGAATGCATTGGAAGTCTTTAAAAAGTGAGTCTTGTGAAGGTCAGGACAGGGAACATGAGATTTACCCTTGTCCGTTGTCCTTGTTCACAACTCACCTACGTGTCCAATGAACACAACGTTGACGTGCTCCTTTTTGGGAGCCCCAGGTGGTGCCACCAGCGATTTCGGTGTGGGTATTTCCTCCTCTTCTTCCATCATTTCGGGGATACCTTCGTCCATGGGCCCTGCACCGCCAGAGGGGCCACATGCTAAATCTGCCTCAATGGCCTCTTCTTTGTGGTCCCATGATTCTTCAGGGGACATTTCCGTTTCTCCATTTTCTACTGGAATTTAACCAATAATTCATTTCAGCCAGAAGAAAGCCTTTTATTTTCTGAAAAAAATGCTGGCATTTCAAAGCTAGGTAAATGCTAAATCTCAAAAATCAGGTCTAATAGTTCTAAGTTCAAACTTTTTTAAAAAAAACTGTTGTCTGATACTATATTATTCGAAATTTTCTTCACACTGGATGTTTTTAGAGCAAGTTACAATCCCTAAGGATTATCAGATTATTTTAGTGTAGCAAAAATTTAGCTGAAGCTAAAGGATTACAGAAAACGATATTAAAATTACTGTTTTAGACAATTATATTACATCTAAATTCATGACTCAATATTTTTAACGGACAAGAAAATGCTTTTCCTCTGAATAATTTATATTACTTTTGTTGGATATTATTTGGTAATGGGAACTATGATGTATTCTTTTACAAGGCATTCTAAAGCCGAGCTTCTTGGCCTTTTGGCTAAAATCAAGTGCAGTAAAGTTGAGCTGAAAAGCTACTTTGTCTTTTACTAAAATGCAGGACCCATAAGAAAATGATCCTTTATGATGAATACTGTATATACTTGAGTATAAGCCCGAAGATAAGCCAAAGCACCCAATTTTGCCACAAAAAACTGGGAAAACATATTGACTCAAGCTTAAGCCGAGGGTGGAAAATGCAGCGGCTACCGGCAAATATCAAAATAAAAATAGATACCAATAAATTTACATTAATTGAGGCATCAGTAGGTTAAATGTTTTGAAAATTTACATAAAACTGTAATTTAAGATAAGACTAACTATGATTAAGTCATTATTCTAACATTCAAAGTAAATGGGCTTACGTATCCTTCCAATAATAATAGAGTAAAATAATAAATGTAATAAAAATAATAGTAATAGAATAAAATAATGGAAATGCAATAACAGTAATAATAGAGTAAAAATAAATGTAATAACAATAATAAAGTAAAATAATAAATGTAATAATAATAATAGAGTAAAATAATAAATGTAACAGTAATAACAAAATATAGAGTATAATAATAAAAAATGTAACAACAATAATAACAACAGAGCAAAAGAATAAATAACTTTGACTAGAGTATAAGCCAAGGGGGCTTTTTCAGCCTAAAAAAAGGGCTGAAAAACCCAACCCTTTGATACTCACTTCTTTTTGATTTTTTTAAATTTCATGTGCAGTTGCTGTACTGTGACAATAACATAATAGAGATGTAGCAAGGGAAGCAGTTAAGCACTATGAGAAAATACATTTAGCTGTTTAATCACACTTACCAACTTGTTCTGAGACCTCCATACTGTCTGCCACATTTGAGCCTAAAGCAACAATATCCAGTATGTTAAATATGAAACATTACTTCAAACAGTTTATTGAGATAGGTCTTTACACAAAGAACAATTTGTCAGAGGTTTAACCATTTCTCCCACCCAATCACTTTGGTTCTGTTTTAGATTTTTTCCAAGAAGCGTTTATTACCTTCACAAGACAATCGCTGCTCCTCTTGTGAAGATTCTGCAGAGGCCCCTTGAATCAGACATAAAGAAGAGATAAAGTAAGGGACTCAGTATTGAAGTAAGTATGAGATATAACTTCGATGAACGTAAGTTGAAAAAAGAATAGGCAGTTTATCTAAAGAGATAAGGGTTATAATAGTGTTTTCTTCATTGTTTACTAAAAGATAAAGGTTTCCCCTTGACATTAAGTCTAGTCGTGACCAACTCTGGGGGGTGGTGCTCATCTCAATTTCTAAGCTGAAAAGCCGGCGTTGTCTGTAAACGCCTCCTATGTTATGTGACCGGCATGACTACATCGCGTGCCAAAACAGTACCTATTGATCTACTCACATTTGCATGTTTTTGAACTGTTAGGTGGGCAGAAGCTGGGGTTAATGATGGGAGCTCACCCCGTCCACGGATTCGAACCGCTGACCTTCTGGTCAGCAAGTTCTGCAGCTTAGCAGTTTAACCCACTGTGCCATCGCGGCCCCTACTGCTTACCTCACCTCCTTAAAACTCTATACTTTACATTTATTAAAAGCATATACACTGTAGTTCTATTTCATAAGCAATGTTGAGTACACAAGTAGTAGCAAACTCTGAGCTTGCTCTCTCTCCTTCCAACTTTTGCTTCAGCGAAGTCTGTGAGGAGAGAGTACCATCCCCTTTTGAAACAGCTAACTTCACTGTTCTATTCACATTTGATATCTTTGGTTAATCAATGTTTTTACAGCAAGATGGTATAGTTTTATATTGGCATGTCTGAATGACCTGGAGATAAAATACCAAATTTACTTAAATCTAATGCTCACCTTATTGACTAAAATTACCTTCTCAAAATTAGGGTGTGCATTAGATTTGCGTAATATGGTAAATACTTTTTTTGGATTTCAGGGTTTTGAAAATTGAGTTGCCCACTAGACTCAAGTCAATATGGGTAGTTTCTTCAATCAGGTTCTTCCAAGTGTTCTGGATTACAATTCTCAGTCCGCCTTGACACTGAAATATCATCCAGTTTCCAAATCCAGATTGTCTGCTTTGAACTGAATTATATGGCAGTGTAGATTCACATCATCCAGTTCAAAGCAGATAATCTGGGATCATACATCTTATAATATGGCAGAGTAGATCCAGCCTAAAAAGTCTACCCAAACCGGCATGACACACAGCTGGTGAGGGATGGTTTAAACTAAGCAGAATTTGTAGTGCACACACTATGAATGATGTGCCTGGCAACCCTAATATTCCTAGGCAGGGAATATTCAAAGGTGATTTTGCCAGTTCATTCTTCTGAAGTATAGTCTGCAGCATTCATTGGTGGCTTCCTATCCAAGTCCTAACCCGAGCTGAGCCTGTTTGATTTTCGAGATCAGATGGAACATAATGCCTTTGAGGTATTCCAGCCATTTCAGACATCACATCTGTTTTAAAAGTAGAAATGTACACTTCTAATTTGCTCCTGGTGCAAAAATCCCAAAGCCATTGCTGACTTGGAGGCATCAGCAGAATCTTCACAAGAGGAGCAGCCAGGCATGTAATTCGAAGTCACCATTTAGTGTTGCATGCAAAAGCGCTTATTCTATACTTTTCCTCCATTTTCATTGGCGCCTGTGCTACCTGCTACTGGTTCTGTTTGCACGTTACCATATGAAGACTCCAAAGATTGTGATTTTCAGCTTGGCTAAAACATTATATAAATATTACCAGAGTAAGTATTAGGATGGCAGTGGTGTGATAGTTGGGCCAGTTTTTAAAGCCCTTACTCCAGAGGAGAGTCTTACGGAACCAATGATACTGCTAGGCATACTGTTCAAAAGATCACAAATGATTTTCGAGCTCTAGGAACAAAGCTAAAGCAATGTAATGTACAGGTGGTCTTTTCATCCCTCCTCCCAGTCATAAAACACGGTCCTACAAGGGCCAGAAAAATAGTACAGGTCAATGACTGGCTTAGAAAATGGTGTCAGGAGGAACGCTTTGGCTTCCTTGACCATGGCCTGCTTTTCCAGGAGGATGGCCTACTGGCAAGGGATGGGGTGCATCTCACACAAGTAGGAAAACACCTTTTTGCTCACAGACTCGCAAACCTCATTAGACGCACTTTAAACTAGGTCCACAGGGGGAGGGGGACAACAGCCTTGCGAACACTACTTTACCCATAATGTCTGGGAACCGCCAGAAGGCTAAACGGAGGGCTGCACAAACACAAAAAGGACCAAGTACCGAAAGCACAATAATCCCAATTAAACAGCTCAGGGGAAGATCTCAGGGGCTCACATGTCTTTACACTAATGCACAGAGCATGGGAAATAAACATGACGAACTCCAACTTTTAGCACAACACCACAAATATGATATCATAGGCATCACTGAAACCTGGTGGGATGACTCCTATCGCTGGAATGTAGACATCGAGGGCTATAACCTCTTTCACAGAAACCGAACAAAGGGGAGAGGAGGCAGAGTAGCCTTATATGTCAAAAACTCTTATGCTGCAGAAGAAATGCATGACAGCAATCCGGGAAACCAGCTTGAAAGCATCTGGATAAGAATCAAGGGAACTGGGACTCAAAAAGATGTGGTTGTAGGCTTCTACTACAGACCTCCAAGCCAGGAGGAAGAACTTGATGAAGTCTTCTGCCAACAGTTGACCAAACAGGCACAGAGAAGAGATGTAGTAGTCATGGGCGATTTCAACTATCCCGATATTTGCTGGAAAACAAACTCGGCCAAGAGTACAAGGTCCAACAAATTCCTCGCTTGCCTTGCAGACAATTTCATGGTCCAGAAGGTAGAAGAGGCAACAAGGGGATTGGCTACTCTTGATCTCATCCTAACAAATGCGGAGGACCTGATCGATGCGGTTGAAGTGGTAGGATCCTTAGGGGCAAGTGACCATGTGCTCCTGCAATTTGAGGTACAAAGGAAGGCCGAAACTAAGACAAGTCAAACCCTCATTTTGGACTTTAGGAGAGCTGATTTCCAAAAAATGAAGGAAACGCTGAGCAGCATTCCGTGGACACAGATACTAAAAGACAAGGGAGTTACGGATGGATGGGAATTTCTCAAGAGTGAAATACTCAAGGCGCAATTGCAAACCGTGCCAACAAAAAGAAAAAATAGGACAAGTGCAAAGAAGCCAGAATGGATGTCCAAAGAACTTCTAACTGTGCTAAGACACAAAAGAGACATGCACAAGAAGTGGAAAAAGGGAGAAATCACCAAAGAAGAATTCAAACAAATAGCCAACACCTGTAGGGAAAAGGTCCGCAAGGCTAAAGCACAAAACGAGCTCAGGCTTGCCAGGGACATTAAAAACAATAAAAAGGGATTCTTTTCTTATGTCAGTAGAAAAAGGAAAAACAAGGAGGCGATAGGGCCTCTTCGAGGAGAAGATGGGGCAATGCTGACAGGGATAGGGAAAAGGCAGAACTACTAAATACCTTCTTTGCCTCGGTCTTCTCACAAAAAGAAAGTCATCTTCAACCTCAGCAAGACGGAGTGGATGAGGGATTTGAGGACATCCAACTCCAAATTGGGAAACAAGTCATACAGGAATACCTGGTCGCTCTAAATGAGTTCAAGTCCCCAGGGCCAGATCAACTACACCCAAGAGTATTGAAGGAACTAGCGGAAGTCATTTCGGAACCATTGGCAACCATCTTTGAGAGTTCTTGGAGAACGGGAGAAGTTCCAGCAGATTAGAGGAGGGCCAATGTGGTCCCAATCTTCAAGAAGGGAAAAAAGGATGACCCAAACAACTACCGTCCGGTCAGCCTCACGTCAATACCAGGCAAGATTCTGGAAAAGATTGTTAAGGAAGTGGTCTGCAAACACTTAGAAACAAATGCGGTCATTGCTAATAGTCAACATGGATTTATCAAAAACAAGTCATGCCAGACTAATCTGATCTCTTTTTTCGATAGAGTTACAAGCTGGGTAGATGCGGGAATGCCGTGGATGTAGCGTACCTGGATTTCAGTAAGGCCTTCTACAAGGTCCCCCATGACCTTCTGGCAAGGAAACTAGTCCAATGTGGGCTAGGCAAAACTACGGTGAGGTGGATCAGTAATTGGTCAAATAGACGGACCCAGAGTGTGATTCTCCCCAATGCTTCCTCTTCATCCTGGAAAGAAGTGACGAGCGGAGTGCCGCAGGGTTCCGTCCTGGGCCCGGTCCTGTTCAACATCTTTATTAATGACTTAGATGAAGGGTTAGAAGGCAGGATCATCAAGTTTGCAGACGACACCAAATTGGGAGGGATAGCCAATACTCCAGAGGACAGGAGCAGGATTCAAAACGATCTTGACAGATTAGAGAGATGGGCCAAAACTAAAAAATGAAGTTCAACAGTGACAAATGCAAGATACTCCACTTTGGCAGGAAAAACGAAATGCAAAGATACAGAATGGGGGACAATGCCTGGCTCGAGAGCAGTACGTGTGAAAAAGATCTTGGGAGTCCTCGTGGACAACAAGTTAAACATGAGCCAACAATGTGATGTGGCGGCAAAAAAAGCCAATGGGATTTTGGCCTGCATCAATAGGAGCATAGTGTCTAGATCTAGGGAAGTAATGCTACCCCTCTATTCTGCTTTGGTTAGACCACACCTGGAATATTGTGTCCAATTCTGGGCACCACAATTGCAGAGAGATATTGACAAGCTGGAATGTGTCCAGAGGAGGGCTAAAATGATCAAGGGTCTGGAGAACAAGCCCTATGAGGAGCGGCTTAAGGAGCTGGGCATGTTTAGCCTGAAGAAGAGAAGGCTGAGAGGAGATATGATAGCCATGTATAAATATGTGAGAGGAAGCCACAGGGAGGAGGGAGCAAGCTTGTTTTCTGCTTCCCTGGAGACTAGGACGCGGAACAATGGCTTCAACCTACAAGAGAGGAGATTCCATCTGAACATGAGGAAGAACTTCCTGACTGTGAGAGCCGTTCAGCAGTGGAACTCTCTGCCCCGGAGTGTGGTGGAGGCTCCTTCTTTGGAAGCTTTTAAACAGAGGCTAGATGGCCATCTGTCAA